CGAGAGGGCAATGTCAAGAGTGAAGGAATCTTTGACCAGGGCACCTGTCCTAGCATATTACTCACCAGACCTACCACTGACCATCCAGTGTGATGCAAGCAAGTCAGGGCTCGGAGCAGTACTTCTCCAGAAGGGACAACCGTTGTCCTACGTTAGCAGAGCTCTAACAGCAACTGAACAGAGGTACGCCCAGATCGAGAAAGAGGCACTTGCCATATGTTTCGCTCTCGAACGATTCCACCAATATACCTTTGGACAAAGGGTCATAGTCGAGAGTGACCATAAACCTTTACAGGCGATCGTCAAGAAACCTCTCCATAAGGCACCAAGACGCCTTCAAGGAATGTTAATGAGGATGTTGCACTACGACATCGACATCACCTGGGTAAAGGGACAGGACATGCATCTGGCTGACATGCTGTCAAGAGCTTACCTACCCACCACTGTAGGAGCCACTGAATTTGGTGAGGTGAACATCGTTGAAACCCTGAGTATGGGAGAGGAGAGGGTTAAACAACTGCAATCTCATACTAACAATGATGAGGTTCTACAGACCGTCAAGAAGGTCATCCACAAAGGTTGGCCGGAACAGAAAGCAGAAGTACCCGAAGCGGCTAAGTCATACTTCAATATCCGAGACGAGCTAAGCGTGCAAGATGGACTAGTATTCAGGGGAGAAAGAGTAGTCATCCCCATAACCCTCCGCAAGGAAATGAAGGAAACTCTTCACACTTCTCATCTTGGAATTGAAGGGACCCTTAGAAGGGCCAGAGAAATCATCTATTGGCCTGGGATGAACGCGGATGTCAAGCAGTTTATCCAGACATGTGAAGCCTGCAGAATGTACGAGCAGCAGAACCAGAAGGAAACCCTCATGCCACACGACATCCCAGACAGGCCATGGGAGAAAGTAGGTACCGACCTGTTCGAACTTAACAAGAAACACTACCTCGTTACCGTCGACTACCTTTCCAACTTCTGGGAAATCGACAGACTGTATGACCTTGGCAGTCGGGCAGTAATCGGGAAACTGAAGAGCCACTTCGCTCGATATGGCATCCCGAGCACTGTAATCAGCGACAATGGACCACAGTACTCATCCGAAGATTTCGCGAAGTTCTCTAAAAGATGGCAGTTTGATCACGTCACAATCTCCCCAAGACACAGCCAGGCAAATGGGAAGGTAGAAGCTGCAGTGAAGGCTGCAAAGAGACTCCTCAAGAAAACATCACAGTCTAAGGGTGACGCCTACCTAGCAATGCTAGAACTCCGAAATACCCCAAACCAAGGTGTTGACAGTAGCCCAGCGCAAAGGCTTCATGGACGGAGGACGAGAACACTACTTCCCACTTCATCCAGTCTCCTGAAACCAAGAGGTGCAGAGGTTCTCAGTGAAGACAGGAAAAAGCTTAAAATGCTACAACGTAAGCAGTCGGAACGCTACAACTTACATGCCAAAGATCTGCCGACCTTAGTAGAAGGAGATATCGTACGTCTCAAGCCATACAAATCAGGAAGCACAGTTTGGCAAAGAGCAGTGGTAAATAGACGGCTCGACGAGAGGTCCTACGAGGTGGAGACCGACTCTGGATTACTCCTCAGAAGAAACAGGGTCGACCTCAAGAGAACTGAAGAACCCCCACCAAACACTGAGGAAGATCAACAGAAAACAATTTCTGAGAAGCCACAGCCACAACCACGTGCTCATGGGACTGAAAGGAAAGAGGCGTATCTACCATCTAACACTGTCATGACTAAACACCCTCAAAGTACTCAAAATCACGTGAAAGAAAACAAACCTCAGAGAACACAAAATACTCGAACAGAACAGGTAGACAAAAATGACACTCAGTCTTTCCTAAAGACCAGATCTGGTAGAGTAAGCAAGCCTCCCCAAAGATTTGGTGACTATGTTGACAAATAAGATGTTTGAAGCAAAAAAGATGATTCTGTGATTTTGTTGAAAACTAATGCAAGCTAATATACATATGTGTTGAAATTATTTGATTGACAAAGATGTCTAGCCAAAGTTTTGCGGAACATTTTAGTATGATCAAGAATTTAAGTCAAAAATATCCTGATAATGTTTTCTTTTGCTAAGATTTCACTCCCAAGAGAGTTTGATCAGATTGAGTTTGTTAGTTTGAAAAGTGTTATGCTTACATTATGTATAATAGACAGCTGTAAATAAGTACTCTAGTGTTGTGTTAGAAAAACAAAACAAAATGAAAAAAAAAAAAAGCATTTAATTTGTTGATATTTTAATCATAAAACTGGTTACAACTGATATACTACATAGCAAAGATTGTATTTCGAGCTATTTAATCTTATTTGTACACCAAAGTCATGTTCTAGTTCAACATTCGACTATATATTCCATGCTCTATGATTTTGATATGTTAAAGTTAAAGATTGCACTAAGACAGAAATTTCAATAACCACAATTATTTGTTTTGTGTATCCATGACAGTAATATGGTTATATCCTTTAAATAATGATGTCACTCCACATCTTTTACAAAAAAGGGAGGATGTAAGAATATGTATAAATATTCATTAGGAGCAGCTACACTGTAAGCGCGCACGAAAGATTGTGACGTAATAAAGAGTTTTAAGACTCATCAGTTTTGGTTTAGACACATGAACACGATGTAGTCCCTGTCTTGTATTGTACTAGTTTAGTTGGATTTGAGTGAATCAACCCTAGGCCAACAGCTATCAAAACACGTACAGTGTAACTCAAGCTTGCCATATTCTGTTCAACATCATCATAATAAAAAGTCATCTGGTTTTTCTTTCATATGTGAACGGATCTTAAGGCATTGCTTTGATCTGTCGCCTGTCGCAGCCCCCCCCCCCCCAACAGCTCTCTGTATGCATAGCTAGAAACCAAAAACAGTGAAAATTCATACCCTCAGTTGATAGCTCTAAATTAAATTTTGATGTCCAGTTTCATGGTCGTTTCTTCAAGCCCCAGAGGCAGTGATTTTATTTTGGATACCTTCTTTTGCCGACAGACGTAATTGGCTTTCTCCATATGGATGTGTTGGTGTTGTAGGACGAATTTCGGCTTCTGGATTTCTTGGTGGTTTGGACACAAGAGATGCGTTAAAGCTTTATTCATTCGTGACTCGGTGTATGGCCTCAAAAAGGCGCTGCGTCAAAATAGGAAAACATTTGAGAGGAGAGGGAAAACACCAAAAGCAGTTAGATATCAACTTTCAGTGAATTACACTTTTTACATTAGCAGAAAGTGCAAACATCACTGGGAAATTTGAGTCCATTTCTATTGCAGTACATTGTGCTGATAATGACTAAAAGTAATTTAATTAAATAAAAAAATCATTAAGGTTTCTATTAAAATGTGCAACTTTATCTTGATTTTTTCGTAATTTTCATTCACACTATTTATTGATACACATTTATATTGTGTTACCCTCCAAAAGAGTGGAAAATGTAATTGTTGCCAATTTGAAGAGGAATTTAGACCCTTAGAAAACTCTAAACTGAAAAAGCATTGTCCAATATGTTCTGCACACACATATGTGAATGCTCCTTTTAAACAGGAGCTGGGCTACATCACAGTACATATACTTGCATACATGTAGGTTATAGGTTATCTGTATTTCCGCCTACACAGAAACACAGAGAGAAATAAAATGGCCAACTCATCAAGCCCTAGCTGTGTCTGTATTCCAGCGCAGATTTGATATTGATTTTTGACTGCATTCAGCGCCGAATGCACACACCTGCCTCCATGCCTGGTCTGTTTGGGAAAACATGGCCAATCGTTATTATGCAGAGCATGTATGGCTGCGAACTGCAATCTCTGTCTATTTCTCTTTCTCTTTCTCTTTCTCGGTCTATCTCTCTTTTTTCCTCTGTCTCTATTTATCTCTCACTTTCCCCACTACTTTTCTTTTTGTACCTCTCTCTCCCTCTCCCCTTCTCCCTTATTCTATATCTATCTCTCCCTCTTTATCTATCTCTCACCCCTTCTCTCTTACTCTATAGCTCTCTTTCTCTCTCTCCCTCTCTCTCTCTCACTCTCTCACCCCTTCTTCCTCTCTCTATTTCTACCTCTCCCCTTCTTCCTTACTCTATATCTCTTTCTCTCCCTCTATATCCATCTCTCTCCCTCTCACACCTTCTCCCCGGCTCTCTCTCCATCTTTATCTATCTCTCCCACTCTCTCTCTCTCTCTCTCTCTCTCTCTCTCTCATTAACCCTCCCCATTCCTCCCCTGGTTCTACCCATGAACTTGAAAGCACTCAATTCAAGTGCCTAGCTGGGTCAAGTATTTCAGAACGTGATATTCGCTAGTTGAGACTGAAAGTTGTGATATGTGATCAGATTGTAAGCTATGAAATAGAGAGAGAAAGAAAGAGAGAGGAGGAGAGAGAGTGAGATAGAAAGAGTGGGAGAGAAAGAGTGAGAGAGAGAGAGAGAGAGAGAGAGAGAGAGAGAGAGGGGGATGTAGAAAAAGAGGAGAGACAGAGATAGTGTGGAGGGAGAGAAAGTAAAGCATGAAATTACATAAATAGAAAATATTTGATATTGATTTAATTTTCCTCATGCAGATTGAACACTGTCTCATGATGATATACAGGGAGACTGTGGTTAAGTAGATTTTTTTTGTCATTTATTTCATTTTTTTACAAATTTGGTATTGAAATGAAAACAGATGTTTGTGAAGAGATATTACCAATATCAGTACAGACGCAATCACACTCGGACATATTGAATAACATACGCAAACATACTTGTATACTAAATCCACTTCTTGTCGTGTACAAAAATGCCATAATACATCTAGTACCGGTATTCTCTATTATTTTCAACTTATATCCATTCTCTCATACTGCTCCTCTATTTAGAAAACAAAATACATTGACAATACATAATATACACAAACAGCAAATTGCTATTCTCATGTGAACTTATTGTTAAGATTATTTGCCAAAGTTTCTAAATGATTGTGTTATTGTTGTATCTTTGCAGAAATACCCAGACACAGAGATAAACAACATAGTGGACAGCAGTCAGCCCATATTGATTGACCAGTGGTGTCCGGTCAACGGAGATGCATGTACAAGCTCGGCAAAGGTCACCTACTACAGATGCCTGGGTAAGATGGAGGGATGGGAAATAGAAGAAAGATGAGAATGAGATGGAAGGTAGAAAGAGAGAGAGAGAGAGAGAGAGAGAGAGAGAGAGAGAGAGAGAAGAGAGAGAGAGAGAGAGAGAGAGAGAGAGAAAGAGAGAGAGAAAGAGATAGGATGGGAAAAGTTGATACAGGAAGAGAGATGAATGTGCAAGCTTGGCAAAGGTCACCTACTACAGATGCCTGGGTAAGATAGAGGGATGGGAAAATGGAAAAAAAGGAGAATGAGATGGAAATTTGAAGAATATTAAGCTAAGGAAGATTGACTTAAAGGACAAGTCCACTCGAAAAATAACTTACTTTCAATAAAAACAGAAAAATCAGACAAACCAATCAAACAAAGTTTGAGCAAAATCGGATAACTAATAAGAAAGTTATGATTTTTTGAAAAAGTATGTCAAACTATGGAACAATGAGAATCACGACACAATTTGCCAAAATGGTTATCAGTTTGTGACGTCACGTCCTCACAACTTATCAATTGCTTTATATAGTTTAATCCCATTAATTTCCCTTTTTACCCCCAAAACTTGATTTCCCCATGCCTTTGCCCAGGTTATATGATTTGTATCATATTGCGTGCATGACATTTCCCAAAAACTTTTATGAATTTTGAAGAATTGATACTATTTTCTGAATATTGTATTTCATAATTATTGATTTTTATATAAATAGTTTATCGAAATTCAATTTTTCATGATTTAACTGGACATAAATTACTCTTTATTTGTGCATCCACACATAGAAATATTACTAACAATCTAACTTGGATGCTGGTGTGAAGAAATAAGATTCTTAGGATGAAAATAGGAAATTTATATTATCAATATAAAGAAAATAATTAGTGGATAGTGAGGACCATACGTCACAGACTCATGAGTGAGCTGCCAATTTGTGTAGTGATTTTCAAAGTTTTTCATGTCATTAAAAATTCATAACTTTCTTATTAGTTATCCGATTTTGCTCAAACTTTTTTTGATTGGTTTGTCTGATTTTTCTAGTTCCATTGAAAGTAGGTTATTTTTGGAGTGGACTTGGGCTTTAAACAGATAGAATCATGTTCTTGAAGCCTTGAGAAATATTGATATATTAGAGATAGGTACATGTACCTTTATAGAATATTTAGGTAAAGATGTTCATGCATGGGTTTATAGTCGTTCGTGAAGTAGGCAACCTGGCGAACACTGAGCCAATGGGTAGTACGCTCCTGTACGCATTAAGGGACACTAGTAGGCACTAGAGCGTAATACCCGTTTGCTCAGTATGCTGCCCTCTATTTACCCACGGATGAGCAATTTTAATGGAAACAGAAATATGACTTGTAAATTACAGTTTCAATTCAGAATGCAACTTATAAATGAGGCCATTATGTGATTATAAAGATCTCACAGAAATTGTAGTGAAAGAAGTTGATTTTTGTTAAAACCTAAAATGTGAACAGACTTAATGGCGCAATGGAACACAGTTACAGAGAAGAGATTAAGAATTGACAGTATTCTATTCAAGACTCACTATAATATTCCTCACTATCATCTCTTCTTTTCTCCGTCAGTTGGCCCGTTCGAGAGCGATGCCCTCATGGTCTACAATGTGTGCAAGTTTTACCACAAGCATGATGAGAACACATGCAGGGAGCCTGAATACTGGAAAGGGGTTAGTGTCAAATGTTCTTCTTATTTGCTATACATCACAAAAGCTCAGTTCTGATTTGTTCTATACATTTCTTGTTTTGTTATTGTCAAGTTCTTCAAGAATGATTGATCTGTATTTATGTTGTAAAATAAAAATGCTTGATACATACATTTAACAAAAAAATGCAAAGGGAAAGAAATTTTCCCCAGCTACCTATCTGTTGACCAGTTCAAGAAACTACTCAAGTCACATCTATTCTGCTAGAAATTACTTTATTACCAGCCTACATATACTTAACTGATCTCTGAGAACTGTCTACCATTTGTTTTTAAGTGGCCCAAACATTGTGGAGCTTGTGTGCAGCACTTTGTAACTGAAAAGAAAAGGCGCTATATCAAATATCTTTTGGATTGGATTGGATTTTGTTTTTAGGAAAAATGAGCTTAAAGGGACTTGTTCTTCTTCATAATTTTTGGTCTCTCGCAAAAAAAAAAAATTATCAATGTAATTTGTTATTAACATTAGGAATGAACAACTGATGAAATGTTTGAACTCCAAAGCTGTTATTTAAAAAACTTTCCCTATGAAAAGGTGAGAAATGTATATAAAATTGTGGCCCCAATTTTTTTTTTTTTGAAGGATAGTCATACAGATTTACCTGGTATGCAAAATGAAAAAAATTCTCATTTCTATTGAAGCTGTACCTGTTTCTGCTCCCTTGTTTCTCACTAACACAGGTAGCGGACGAGGACTGCCGAGGCAAGAAGATGGGCATCAACTCGACCGGCATGCTCCTACCCTGCCAGACGGATAAATTCAAGGGGGTGGAGTACACCTGCTGCCCCCCTCCCACCTACCGGCCGATGACCGCCGGGGAGGAGGAGACCGAGGTGGAGGAGGAAGAGGAGGAGGCCGAGGCTGAGGCCGCCGCTGCAGGAGGGGAGACTCAGGCTCAGGTCCAGGAAGAGTTGCCGGTTCAAGCCCCAGCCCCAGCCCCAGAGAGGGATAATGTTGGTGAGTACAGATCATGATACTTTGGATGGCTGTTCCTGGTAAAAAAGTATTGTAGATGAAAAAAACGTAGCAGTAAATTAAGATGTAATTTAGAGGGGAGAGTTTAAAACACAATGGAATAAGGAAATTTGTATACAAAATAATGCATTAGCACCAATACCCAATACCAATAATATCATATCTAAAAGAAGACAGATAAACACTGCTCCATCTGTTGACCAATTCAAGGAACCTCTGAAGTCTGAAGTCCCATTAGTTATGTTAAAGGACATTGGATTGTATTGACTTACCTGGACCCCATCCCATAAAACTATTAGCATTAATGGTAATCTACCATTAATAGTTACATATTGCATACAGGTATTTACAGTGCTTAATTATGTATTATACAAAGTTATGGCATGCACAGGGTTATCATATTTTTAAAGTGCTTCTTGGGTTGAAAATTGTAAAGGGGGGAAGTTCTCTTGGTAGTGTATACACAAGGTATTTCAATTGGGTTCTTTCTGAAGGGGGCACAGGCCTTTAAATAGTGCCCTCCTACATCCTCAAATCCTTAGAACCCTTGTTTGTTATTTGTTTGCAGTTGCTAAGCCACAGATCACAAGCAACATCCTGGATGACCCCTACTTCTCTGAGCAAGGGCTCGCCGGCAGGGTGGAGAAGAAGGAATACAGCAATGCCAAGGGCCGTCTCTCATCAAACCAGAAAGCCAAGATGGCCAGGGTCATGCAGCAATGGCAGGAAGCACAAGAGCACTACGAGACACTGAAGGCCAAGGACCCAGAGGTAAGGTTTCCTAGGGTGTTTGGTTTGGTGTTATAGGGTGTTTGTTTTGGTGTCGTAGGGTGTTAGGTTTGGTGTTATAGGGTGTTTGGTTTAGTGTTATAGGGTGTTTGGTTAGGTGTTAATATTCAAGACATTAGATGCAGAGATGAGATGGGAAAGGGGTTGTTTGGTGTAAATACCTAAGACAAGGACCTGGAGGCAAGCTGTTCTTGGTCACAGAGTTGGATTGTTTAATGTGGTTTCTTAGACCCCAGTCACTCCAACAAGACTAACATCAGACTGACAAGAGACAGAACAAAAATTGATATTAATTTGAATGCTAAGAATCACTCTGGAATCGTTTGGCAGTTTGGGACCACTTAAGTAATAATTTAAGAGAATTATTGCTATAAGCTATTGAAAATACGATGTTTTGTGTTTGTTACTCATGGTACATTTGTCCCATTCCATTAATCGTTCCAGGCTGCTGAGCAGATGAGGAAGGAGATGACCCAGAGGTTTGAGCAGACGATCGGTACCATGGAAACGGAGAACGCAGAAGAGACGGAGGAGCTTAGAGAAGCCCATCAGGTCCACATCGCAGTCAGCCTACGTGAGAAGATTAATGCATCGTATGAGGCGTACAGGTTCACAGTCGACGTCCCTAAACCAAAGGTACGTCTTATAAAAACTACAGACATATGTAAACTGTAGAATCATTTGCTCTGATGTGTGAGGAGTTGTGTGTCTGGACACTTGATTTAATAAAAAAATATTTATAAAAATAGCACTAATTGTCATGAATAGGTGTCATGTATAATATATGTCTTAGAAGATTTAGGAAATATTGCTTGTAAACTTTGTCAAATTGCTGTTTTAAATCAACAGTCCGGATACACAACCTGTCCAGACACACAATGTCTGGGTATACAACACACCCTCTTGCGACATTTACTCCACTGTTTATTTATTACAATTACCAAATATAGCCTTCCGTATACATATTCAGTTGTCCTTGTTCAGTAAAACTTTGCCTTTAGACGATAGCTTCATGTCAACTTCAAAATAAACCTTGATGAGTACACTTCCGAAACACCCTTCCAAGTGTTTAGATTTTTTCCATCTTTCAAATTTGGTTTGTTTGTTTTACCTGCTTGCTAAAAAGCATGCGTGTGTGATTGTTAGTAATCAACCAGGGGACCGACGGCTTTGAGTCCCCTCTGAGGGACTTGGTAATGAGGATTAATGCCTTACCAGTTACGAGACCACTGTTCTACCACTGAGCCATCATGCCTCCGTTATTTCAAAAATAATCTCAATTTGCTTTTCCTTTTCTTCCAGTCGAAGAAGATCCTTCACTCCCTGAGGCGCTACCTCCACGCCATCCAGAAGGCCAGGCAACATTACATCATCCACTACAAGCACCTGCGCAAGACAGACCCCATGAAGGCGGATCAGCACAAGCGCTTCACCCTCAACAAGCTCAAGACTCTGGACATCGAGGTCGCACAGAGCGTAGACCTGCTCCAGAATCTACCAGACCTCTACGCAGAGCTCAAGCCTAAAGTTGGTAAGTACTGGGAGAATTGTGTCTGTTAAGAGCTAGATGGGTGTTAACTCTGTGTTAAAGTACATGACTTAACTCCCTTCTGACTCTCAACAGACGATTTGGACTGGAAGTCTTGTAGGTCAGGTCACACCAGACAAAAGTCACAAGAATAGGAGACAAGAATAGAGATCAAAATTCTGCAAAAGTTTACAGCATGAGCATTTTAGTCAGGTATCTTTAAATGGAATGTTTAGATCTATAAAGAAAGTCGCTCCCCAAAAGAAGAAAACTTGATGATTATGATGATTATTGGGCGGTCGCTATAGACAGGTTTGACTGTATAAGTACCATCAGATATGTAAACTGACCCTGACCTTTGAACTGTGCAGATGCTCTCCTGGACAGCACCCACGACACTCCAGAAGATGCAGCTCTCATCCGAGCTACCGAGGAGGAGGAAGAGGTGGAGGAGGAGGAGGTGATGATTGCCCAGGCCAAGGTGACGGAAGCACCACCTGCCCCCCAGCGCACCGAGCTGGAACCGGTAGCAGAGATCACGGAACCAGAAGTAGCCGATGAAGTGATCTCACAGGCAGAGGAGGAAGAATTGGAAGAAGTGGTGAGTGTGATGTAGATATTCTTATGAATGCAATGTGTAAGGTATGAGAAGTGAGAGAGAGAGTGTAATAGGCAAAGATGGAAGTATATTTAGAGAGAGATAGATGAGGGAGAAATAGGAAAGAAATGAAAAGAAGCACTTCCTACCCAGCTCCCAAGCTGGAACCGGTAGCAGAGATCATGGAACCAGAAGAAGAGGTTCCGGTAGGCATCACCTCGCAAGAAGAGGAGGAAAAATAAGAGGAAATGATGAGTGTGATTGTGATTTACATGAAGTATCTAGAATGTATGAAATAAGAGCCAGATACGCAAGGATTAAGATACATGTATAGTTTTAAAAAGAGATGGGGAAAGTCGTTATAAAGAAAGAACAACAGAGGCAAATGCTGCTAAGTGGATTGAACTTGAACCTGCAGCAGAAGTCATGGGATTAGAGGTAAAGTTGTGTCAACAAAAATGTATTGACAATACAAACTTAATATGAAAATATAAATGTCATGGTTTCAATTAACATTGACATGACGATCAAATTTCCACCTCTTTGAATCTTCTCTTCATCCTACAGGAGGAATTCCTGGAAGAGGACACGGAAGCCCCAACCGTCTCTAGGAGCTTCGAGACCAAACCAAGCACCCTGGCCAAGACTAGCCCAGCCCAGACTAAGCCTAGTCCAAGCCAGACCAAGCCCAGGACCTCTACAGCTACACAGACAGAGCCAGAACCACCCACGCCCAGCAGAGACACCGAGCCAGAGATAGAGCAAGAGACAGAGATCCAGGTCCCAGCAGAAAATGTACAGATTGTTGCAGGTAAGCAGTGATGTACAGACATCAACATTGGTGTTTAGGACTATGTAATGTACTGACATCATAGCTGATATGTGAGACTATGTGATGCTGACATCAAAGTCAATATGTGGAACAGCAGGCGGTACCTCTTTAGAATACAGCAGAAGCCCTTGATTGAGTAATGTTACTTGTCTCTGAAAGTCTGAATGTTTTTGTCTTTTTGTTGATGATACTTAAGCTGGCAGGATCAAATCAGCTAGTAGGTCAAATGACCAAGGGGAATACAGCAATATATGAACCATATTAAAATATAAGAGATTGGCCTCGATGTAATTCCGCTATGATGACATTATGTGCCTGAATTCCTAAGGTCATCTGTTCTTCATCCATCTTTCTTCTTTGAAAGAGAGAGTTTTTTTTATAGATGATGAGCGATATCTCCTCTTTGAAGTTGAACCTATAAAGAGTTATTCAGATGAGGAGCTGGATCACTGCTCTTCTAGATGGCGAGGTCGTCGAGCCCCAAGCCCTGATCATAGCTCAGATCCGTAAGGCTAAGGCCTCAAGTGAATTCCTAAACTCACTTCTTCTTTCATCCATCTTTCCTCTTTGCAGTAAAACCTATTGAGAGTTATTTAGACGAGGAGCTCACCGCTCCTCTTGATTCCGACGTCGTCAAGCCCCAAACCCTGATCATAGCCCAGAAACCTAAAGCTAAGGTGGAGAAGTCTGCGGCCGCTGCTAGGATGGAGAAACAGAGATTGGTCGGCAGGCAGGATGTCAATAGCATTGATAACGTGAGTAATAACACTCTTCCTAATCTAAGATTTGTAATATGTAGTCGATTTGAAGTCATTGTGCTGTTGGTCTGGATGGTGTAGGTGTTGCATAAGTGAACACTAAGTTTCTTAGTTCTTTCCAAGTGTATTTTATTTGGGTAGAGATTATAAAAGACTCATGGAGTGAAATTCTTAGGATTTCCTTGCGTTTTCACAGAGTGAATATTATCTATAGAGCTCAAAATTGTATTAAATAGTTGAGCCATTAAGCATCTTTGATGAATGTTTGCTAGTTTAAAAAAAAATTGTTTTTACATCAATTTCTTTCCCGCCTAAATATAACTTTTTGGCCTCCTATATAACGATTAAACATCAGGTACGTCGCATACATTTATAACATACTTGTATTTGTATACTTACAAGCTTTCTGTTCTTCTTTTGTCCATTTTTCCAAATTTCCGGGGAGATCAGTCTGTCACTAAAAAGCGCATGTCGCTGAGGTACGAGCCCATGATGGCGTTTGGACTTGCATGCGGAGTGCTTGCCGTGGCCACGGTACTCGTCATCGCGGTCCTCATCGTTAGGAGGAAGACTCGACGAACGCCCGTCAATAGCGGCTTCACCGAGATCGACCCTAACCTAACAGTCGAGCAGAGGCATATTGTGGCCATGCAGCAAAACGGATACGAAAACCCAACATATAAGTACTTTGACATGCAGTAGCTAGCTTGTGACGGAGAGTCGACCAAAAAATAGATCGCCCTCTATTGCTGAACTGTGTATTCCTGCACCTTTGTTTATTTATACTGGACAGAAAATCATCTAGCACAGAAATAGTATAACATTCTCGCGGACGACCGGATAATCGCCCATCATATCGGCTCGCTTTCCACAAGAGTAATCTCCTATATAGTACTACTGCTCACATGATTATGGTAGTTAATATAAAGTGTGTATCGCTACATCTAGGATTGCAAACATATTACTCTTAAAAGGCATTCAACTCGTTATGAATAGCACAGTATATTCCTATATATTCTGAGTACTTCATCGAGAATTATTCACTTGCTTTTTTCCACCACATCTATATATATGTTTGTGTATATCAGTATCACAACCTGTGTTTACGAAAATATACCCCTTTTCCTCTATTAAAGAAAGAAGCTTTTAAGCACTGCAATATTAAATGTACAGTAAGATTTCCTTATTTATTGTGATAAACCAGTGTAACTTATGATCCAGAATGCACTTTTTTCGGCACTCATTCCATTGTTAAGAGTCACAATTCATATAAAACCTTATCGTTTTATGGGTTTCATTACATAATTGTGATATACATAACGAAAATATGATATTAACTATGCTATGACAAGCTATTAAATGCACAACTTGCAGCACATAAAATTGATACGTTAATGATCTAGTGGATATGTTTGCTGACTGAATGAATCTACTGAATGATATAAACGTAAGCTCATCAAAAGTGTATAACATTATATTATGTTAGAGAATCATACCTAACTCACAACTTATTAAACTTGTGTATTCTTATATAGTCTTGTGACTCAATCGTCTTGTAAAGATGGGAAAAAGAGAGTGTCATAATGTAAATCTGACTTAAATTGTGAGCTAGACTTGCAATGTTATTATTAAAAAACTAACGTATATTTGACATGAGTATTTCAGCTTTTTCGCTAGGAGTTCTCTTATTCAGAGAATGAAAAATGTTGCAGTCGGGGACTGCTTGGTAAGAAATACATTTGTCATAAATGTATTCCATGCCAAAGGCTCAATCGGATCCTTTGATCCAATTAAAGATAAAAACTTGCATCTAGATTTTGAAAACATGAAATACTCTTCATAAAAGTAAACTGTAGCTACTCTGTTATTTAAAAAAAGTCAATCGCTGTGAAATCTAGAAATTACATATGACCTACTTCTTAACTTATACATGTACCGTACGTGTAAATGAAAGATGAGAAATTGTTTGATCTTCGTGTGATATAATCATGATGTCTATAATATTAATTTAACAAAGAAAAAAAGAATTATTGTAAATCTTTTTCACCAAGTAGTGGAGTAGTAACTTGTGACATAGTTCATTGTTGTACAAAATTTAGCCAACTTTTGAATGTCTTGTGAAAAATAATACATTTTATGTGAGCTAAATGGCTGTAGATATCTTGCTCTATGTAGATCTGTATTGAAGTAAAACTAGATAAAACTAAGAGTAGTAAATAATAGAACCGTACGATTGTATATTGTAGTACATGGACGTGCCCTTTATGACTTTCAGGTTGTCACGGCGACGGAGCAACAATGCCATCTTAAGTATTTATTCATTTGAAACATTTGCTTTTGTAGTCATGATAACTTGATACATCTCCTAGCTATTGTACATGAACTACTATTAGACTAGTGCAACCCGTGTTTGAATCTCTTCATACCACTTCCTCAGACAATGCTTGGGTAGGCATCATCTGCGGAGAGCCAGAGGGGCGTTCATTCCTATCGTTTAGAACAGAGTAAATGCCCTTCTTGCTATCAACAGACAGTGTAAGATAGGGATGCATGGTAGGCTGTTGGTAATATAGCAGAGATAATCAACTACACTGCAGTGATAACAACAGAAAAAGGAAATTCGCAGTTGACTCAAGGTTCCTAAGAATGAAGAATGAAGTCCACAAGACTTGTGGTCCAACAGGCATAAGGTCTACAAGGCTTAAAGCTTATCTGCCGTAGTTTACAGGAGGGATTAGACTGCCCTGCAAGGTCACTGGACAGGTGGTTATCTCATCAACTCAGCTCTCAGTTTACATAAGAAAAAGAGGATCATGGGGGACCAATGGTCACCAATTAGGCATTGTTTGTTATATAGAGGGTGCAAGTAGCTACAAGTAGTGCAGTGGGCCTTTAAGGTCCTGATTCCCAGTTGACTGTAACAGAAGGTCTGTGTACCATTAGTTTCAGAAGAACAAACATTTCAATCTTCTGGATTTTCTGGATACTCGTTGGAAGGTTACAAGACCAAAATCTTAAAATCCTAGATCCTATACCTTGAAGGCCACACCTCACCATTGTGGTGATGAAGATACAGTAGCTAGTGTTGTGTGGCAGGATTAAGGGGGTCCCATGGATAGGTCCTTGGTCAACTGCAAGAAGGGAAATACGGGTGCAGACAAACTCATTTGAAAAGGCATTGAACGCTGCTGTAAATATTGAATATGAATTATAAAAAAGGCATGTGCTATAATGTGTAACGTGTAGCATCTAGCTTGCAAACGTAGCTCTTTGCTAGTCTATATAAACCTCATTGCGTGAGTGTCTTGTGAAAAAAAAAGTGATAGCAATGAATATACCAATGTCTCAATAGTATTCATATTATTCAAATGAGTGCTGTACAAACGTCAATTAATTGTATACTATGTGTGCTTTATGAATATTCATATATTGATATTCCGTTAGGGGGTTGGCAAAGAGTGATATGTGGAGTTGATTCTTAGTTTCGGGAGAGGGGTGGGAGTCACATTTTTGTTTGAAAATTTATTTTGGTATGGTTTTCTTATGATGGAAAATTTATTGGTAGTTAAGAGTTAGGATCACGGTTAATTGGGAATTCATGTCTTTTCAAAGTTTCGATACATATTCTGGGAGAATCAAAAGAAGAGAAAGTAAGATTTTTTCTAAAAATAAAGGGAAAATGCTATGATCTTTTAGTGGGAAAAAGGTTATTTTTCTTAAATAAACAAGGACTGATTTTGGAGGTTTTAAGATGAGAGATAACTTGTGCTTCTCTTTACTATCTGTTTATATGAAACAGTACTTTTTGTGACCATTACTTATCATTATGTGAGAAAAACTAATTTATTGTATTTTTCATCTAGTTTAAATCACATGTTAATAGTGTAATTGAGTTTTGAAAATATGCTAAATCTTGTCGTTTGATGTACATGTAGCTTAGAAATGTTTAAACGATATTGATGAGTTTTCCATACACAACTACTTACTGTGTGTCATACTTAATACATGTCTTTTCCAGTGTTATGACAGTATCAATGTGGATAGCAATTTGAGTTTGAAAACATATCTGAAACCCAAGTGTGGTATGGAACATTCTTTGTGGTTCATTTCTTAACCAATTAAGTTAGGCATTTTGTTTTGTCACTTGTCCAGAATTTTGTTACTCAATGTAAACAAACGCAGTAGACGTACAAGTGCTCTGTGGCTACAATAATTTCGTTTCCATCGCAGCATTGTATGGAGTTTTGTTGATATCTGTTATTTGAGGAGCAAAATCAGGTATTTTTTTAAGTGCTAATATCTTTTAAACCAGCATTACATTATATTTCCTATGTGGCTGTTTTAGCACACAAGCTGAATTTCTGAGTATTTCTTCTTCTCTTATGTGGTTTTATTTGTTGTATATAAGAAGCTTAAAAGTAATATTCCTCAAAGAGTGATATCTATATGTATTTTAATTCTTTGTGTTCTGTCAGTTTGCCAAAAATGTTGTACGCTTAGTACTTTAACCGTCTTGTATTCTGCGACTGGTGTGCACAAAAGTGGTTTATGTAAGGAACAGGCAGGTTTCACAAAATCGTCCTAAGGACATGTTTGCAGACAACCTGTTCAAACAGGTGTATTAAATTCAACACCCGTTCCAATGGGATGTCAGTGAAATTGGAGCTAGTCTGTTTTGAATATGGGATGTGACTTTGATGGCAGATTTGAGTAAACCATGGATCTGAGATCGTTGTTTCGTTACAAGGGCCATGATTCAAGTCGGAATCTGCTTGCTTGCTCCAGCTGATCGCGGTCATCGTGATACAGGTACAGTCAAACCTGTCTAGTAAGGTCACCCAAGGGAAACAGAGGAAGTGACCACAGGTGGCCTTTAGACAGGTTTCCTCCTAGAAGGTGATCACTATAGACGGGTTTGACTGTACATTTTCAAAATCAGTGGGGTTTTAATGCATATATTAAACCTCCTTTGTGCAAACTAGTTTGATTTTTGTTGTTTTTATTTATGTATGGGGAGATAAAGAAAGAAGATGGACATTTCAAATTGTAAGGATATTTCATATATATTTTGGGCCATTTCAATGAATGAAAGTAAAGTACTTCATTTTGGGTTATAATTCATTAGTAATGATTTAACTGAATATTTATATTTGGGTTAGTTATGGAAATGTGGATATAATCTTTTAAATTTGGACATGTAACATGTATTTACTTTACAGACTGAAATATTAAAAAAAGAAATGGAGAATTTTTGTTGTTGATCCACAGTTAAATGCTTGGAAGAAAATCAACACTGAGCGGCACCAATACCTTTTCTACAAATTTTATTTGCAGTTCATAAACTTGGGTTTTTGTGTTTAAAAATGGGACAAAGGCTTTGGATGTAAACAAGACCCAAAATTTGATCTTGGGACCAATTTTAAAGCAGTAACATTCTTGGAGATACAATTACATTTGGGAAAGAAGGGCTTTAAATCAGAAAATTGGGTGGGGTTTGGGAAAAGTCTACTGGCTTTCAAAGAGGAAATTGCTGTCTCGCAAAATGTGGAAGAGATGTTATTGAAGTATTTACCGTACTGCTTATGTATTCAGTCCCGTTTGAAAGAAAAATATGTGCTTCAATATCAATTACGGTATAGCTGTTATATGAGTTTATTCTGTGTAACATGCATTGTCTAGAGCTGCATATTCTCAATAATTTGTATCATTTTTTCTCCTTAAAGGCGGTCTTGCCTTGAAAAAAAGTGGAAAATTAAAAAAAAGTTTTCATTGTGTTTGTCTTCAGTATTACTGGTCTCTACTTCGTATCCTTATTTTGTGGTCAGAGTTAATGAGGTTTATAGACTGGAGAAAATGAGTTAAAAATCATTTCAACCATTTTCAGGAGGCTGATACCTGGGGGACTAATACGATACATGTATTTATAATCATCCTCATACAAATGAGATTTTTTGAACACCTTTCTCATCAACTCTTTTCTCTCTGAATGGTAGGAGTAGATGTAGTGGGAGTGGTAGAAGGGTGGATAAGGAGGATGATGGGTGACAAAGATGTGGGTAGGACGGTGGGGTGGTAGTAGAAGTAGGATGATTTCTGAAGGGTAGGAGATGCAATAAAGTAGGATGGCAGATTTTCTCTGAATGGTAGGATAGAAAGGATGGGTGAGAGAGGTGGGATGGCAAGATGGCAGGAGAGGTATAATTATAGAGGTGGAATGTTAAAACATGTAGGATGGTAGTGGAAGTGGGTAGTAGAGGGATGATGGGAGTAGAGATTGCTCGATAGATTGGCAGTAGAGGGGAATGGTGAGAGGTAGGAGGGTAGCAGAGGTAGGATGGTAAGAGAGAGAGAGCAACAATATAGGAGGAGCGATAGGATGGGAGTGGTTGTAGGATGGGAGGGGAGGTAAGATGGGAGGGGAGGTAGGAGGGCAGGAGAGGTAAGATGGGAGGGGAGGTAGGAGGGCAGGAGAGGTAAGATGGCAGTAGAGGAGAATGGTGGTAAATATACTTAATTTGTTTGTTTTGTTGAAGTCTCCTCCCCTCCTCAAATGACAAAGAAATGTAGTTATGTTGAACGATGTGTATCTGGTGATGTTTTGCATGTTTGTATGTATGTTCTGTAGAGGTTCGCAACTGAAAACTGGGCACCACAATTAAGGGGATGAAATTAAACAAACAGCTGATAATCAAAATAGGCTATATGTCACAAGTGTCAACCAGGCTTATTTTTTCTTCTTCTTGCCTTTTCTTTCTCCATTTTTAAAAATTCCCAACTATTAGCTATTGTACAACCAAAGCCATCGATGCAAAACGGTAGCCATCTTGTTACGGTACCCATTATCTCAAACATGTGATTTGCGTAGTTTATGTACGTATTTGTTACTCTTTAAAATAATTGGTGGAGTTTTGTCTGACCAAGCAACAACTTATATATGCCAAATGTTGCTTTACAAAAGAAGCCGCTCAATTTTTTGAAAGAGTTGGTTATGAAATATTACAGAATATCAATTAATTTGAACGTACATGTATTACCAAAATAGTCTATACTTACAGGAAACTACAATAATGCATTTCAGAGGTGAGCTCTAAATAAGACCTTTACATCGCCCAAAATTGGCATCGTGGGAACGCAGCTATTTAGCAATGACACTGGGTAGCACAAGGTTGGCAGGATCGTCAAGTGCGATGCACTGTGGTATTGTTGCGAGTGACAATTAAGTACAGTGTACATGTATCCTTCTCTGGGGGATACAACATAAGTAAGCAGACATCAAAATAATAACAAAACACCCATCTTGTAAGATTAGCATTTTATTCACTAGAACATTGTGAACACCAACTATACTAGCTGTGCTATGCAAATATTTTTTTTTGGTGAAAACTACCGGTATTCATCTTCCACATTTGAGAGTAGAGAATTAGGCTAAAACGTACTTGTATGTGTTTAATCATGGACCTATTACGGATGGACATTCAACGTGATTCTTTCTTTGATCCAATAATAGTCACCGCCGTCTGATTATGTGCATCTTAATGAGAACATTCAGCTGTTTTAACAATAACAACTGCATAAGCATTTTCGGGCATTGACAAAGGAGCAGTTTCCCTCTCTTGGGTTTTGTTTGGATGGTGTGCTCTGTAAGAGTATGTCTTCTATAAAAACATCCTCAATGGGGAGCAGCAAAGTTGAAAAGCAGACGATTTTGGTGATATGAAATTTATTATTACTGATTTGCACACTTTTGCACGCACCAATGACCTTATAAAACAATTAGAAGGCCATGATCTTTATAAGCCCTGTGCGTTGTAATTCTGGAATATTATGAGGAAATTGGGGAAAACAGGATTTTAAATCACAAACAATCCAAACAAAACCTATCTGGTAGTATCAACATGTTTTTCAAAAATAGAACACAGTACACGGAACAACAATTTCCATTTATTAACCAGAACTGCACATCGATTTCCCATGATTTAAGCGATTTATTTATATCTTCTGCGCATGTAGATTGACATGTTTAAAATCACTATCTTAATTCTGTCCCGGCTTATTGGCGGTGACCATCGTGAGTTCAAAGTGAAGAAACATGTACGGAATGTTATTGAGACGACATTGACGGAGACAATCTCAATGAATTCGTTAAGAAAACAATGAATGTCCATTCGTAATAGGTCCATGGTTTAATAGACCTGGGAGGTGATAGAGAATCAAGTAGCTCTCCTTTGACCCCATGCTCCAAGCTGCCGAAAATTTATGCACTAATCTTTAACTTTTGACCAGGTGGTGAGATAAAAGAGCGTATGAAATATCAGGGTTTAGAATTCCTACATCAGAAAATGGTATCACTGCAACTGTTCGCTGTCAATTTCAATGATTTATCATCAATTGTCGGATGTGTAATAAGTTGAACAAGCGAACACAAACCTTTGTAATTTCATACTTTTTTCCAACGACAAAAATCCAAAAAGCACGCATTATCAATCTTAAAGTTATCAAAGATTGTAAATCATTGATTAAATGTCGGGACATTAAACCATGCGAATATAATCGGATTGTCCTTAAATATTGAGTTTTTGTCAGGATGTAATTTTTCTTTTACCAACTCTGGCACACAAATTATAGGAAGGGCGGAGTACTAAATTTGAATAATTGTTTGATGCACTATTCCCAATACAATCCCCATACCGGTATAAAGTTAATAATTTACACTGAAATTTTGCCGATAATTTAATATTTTGTAATAAATGTGAAACTAGTGCCTGGCCTCCGAAATTCCCCGCAGTGGAAGAGCGGCTCGGAGCATGGAACTTCAAAGCTGCGTGGAATGTTACACATCCCATTGTTACGCTTTAGAACTCACGCATGCGTTTGAATAAAATACAAGAGTTTCCACTCCTTCTCTATCACCTCTCTGGTTAGACATAAAGAAAGAAAATAATAAATGACATCCTATAGAAACATAATTAATTGTATAACGCATGGTTATATGGGATATCCAGGAAGATTAGACTTATGATGGTTTCAAGAAACACGTCTGTTTGTTAATAATATAATATTTAAAAAACTTACTTATTGAAAACAGGTAAAAAGAATAAAAACCCTTATTGTTACACATCATGACACAAAATTAAATAAAAGTGTACACCATATTCACTGTATTTCATTGTCATTTGTGACAATAATACATGTACAATGTATATCAACTGTTTAAAGCCGAAAGGGTGTAACAGGGGTGATAGCACTAAAAAAACTCAACCCCTCCCCCCCCCCCCCCCCCCTTGAGTAAAAAACAATCAGGAAATTAAATTGAGTAATCATCAGGCCTGGCATTACTGTGTTATTAAAAACTCAATAGAAAATATCAGATAAGAAGATACTAATGGTGATGGGCTATTATTCTGGGAACATTTGCTAAAGTTATATTGTCTAAGAGTTCCAAGTGTTTTTGGGGGTTAAATTCCAATTTGGCACATACAAGTAATGACTTAACATAATTTTAGACAGAATATTCATAAGAAGTTTACGGCTACTGCAGTTACAAAGTAAACGTTAATACATGGATTTGCTTCAACTAATAATTGTATTTCTATTTTTCTGCAAGTTTCGCGAAAGGCATATCACAACAGTTTAATCATAACAATGTTTTTTTGTTTGTAATATAGCATCTCATCCGTTATAAGTAGCTGATCTAAGTATTTTACTGAGCATTGTATTTTTAAGGCAAAGGTTCATCTGATTGGTGATGTAAAGTTGAAAATTTAGTTCTCTCTTCACAATCCGTAGAGAAATTACCTACTGAAGCTACAGTATTCAAATTACTGAAGAGGTTCATCCAATCAGTGCTGTTACTTGAATGTTATTTTTCTGTACAATCAGTAGAGAAATTACCTAAGCTTTCTTCAACGTACGTTCCCATTCGATCACATCATCATAGTGCATTGGCTACAGCGCCAGCTATGACTGCTGTCCGAAGAAGCTAATACAGCAGGGTAAGCAAAAGCCTACCTACACAGGTAATTATTCTACCGATTGTGAAGTAAAAGAAAAACTAGATGAATCTTCGACCTAGCGCAGTCGAAAATGATGCCTCCGCCATAGAACGATGTTACAAACCAAAACAGAAGCAATTTTTAGAATTCAAGTTAGATTTTAATCCATTAACAGGTTCTTAGAATATCGCGATTACGTGCTATTTGTCATAAACATGTATGACCCTTTGATCTTTGACCCTAAAATATAATCAGTTCATTGGCTCTGCAAGATACATACATGACCACAGTTTGGCAGGAAATCATCAATCGGTTCTTGAGAAAACGTGATCACAAGCTGATTTTGCAGACATAGCGAGCCTTGTGCCTTTCGACCTCGTGACCCCAAGAGCTAATCATTCATTGGCTTTGCGAGATACATACATGACCCAAGTTTGGCGGGAATTCATCAATCTGTTCTTGAGATAACGCGATCACAAAAACGGGACGTACAGACAACCTGAAAACATAATGCCTCTATCTACTTAGTAGCGGAGACATGATAACTACTGTTTAAAATAATAATGTTATTACATAATAATAATGTTTGATAATAACATTCCATGTTCATTAATATACATTTTTGTAGGAAAGAAAATGACACAATTCAAATAATTTGTGGATAACTTTGTAACTAAAGGATACCTTTGCAACATACAAGCCTTAATAAACGTAATTATCACAAAATTGGGTTATTTTCTTGTAGAAATAATGCAAAATTTAACTCATTACAAGCTACAACATCTTAATTCTAACGAAATAATTCATATACATGAACATTTTGGTAAAATGAAAGATCACTAATAATAAATGGCTTTCTTTGACATCACCATTGATTCAGAGTAGATAAATCATCAACATCATATAACATTACAAATTATTAACTTATCAGAGCTGCCAACGTTTGGTTTTTGTAATCAAGGAGATTTTTGTGAACTGAGCAAAGCGAGGGTCCAGGTGGGGTCCAGGGGGCAGAGCCCCCTTGGAGCTCCTGGTTTTTAGCCTTTCTGACACTCTTTCTGTGTGCAAATTTTTGATATTTGAATATTTTGACAGTAAATTTGGGTATGATTTATAAGGAATCAGTGAAGTTTTTGAGAATCTGTGACTCGATGTTGTCTTTATTGTAATGGTGATTGAAAATTTTCAACAAAATATTACTCCTTTTTGCATAAAAACAGGTATCAAATGGGCTCTAATTATAACCTTATTTCAAGCTTATCAAGAACACATTCACAACATTTTGTACAAGTGCATTCATATTAAGATGTTTCCAAAGATTGTGAAAATATGATATCTACTAGACTAGATCAAAGAAAATCAATATGAAGTAGCTCACACATGTGCGTGGTTACACTTAGATAACATGAAACCGCACATGAAATGATACCACCAGGACTTCTGGGAGATTTTTTATGTGTGTCGGGATATTGGTGGATTTTGGGGAGTCTCCCGACAAACTGGGAGGGTTGGCAGCTCTGACTTACAAGTCATACATAATGAAAGGTTTTATGAGACATCTGACCAACATGTGTACCGCTAGTCTTTTTTTTTTTTTTTTACTTGTATAGTGAAGTGCAAGTAAACCACTTCAAGTATCTAGGCAGTGTGCTGACTGAGGATGGCAAGTCTGCCAAAGAGGTCAACTTGCGCTCAGCTCTGGCAAGAGCTGCCTTCTTTCGAAGACAAGATATCCTGATGAGCCACAACATTGACCTTAGTTTGAGAAAGCGTCTTGTGAAGTCTCTAGTATGGAGTGTACTGTTGTATGGGGCTGAGACGTGGACACTCACTAAAAAGGACATGCAGCGATTGGAGGCGGTCGAAATGTGGTGCTGGTGCAAATTACTAGGTGTGTCTTGGAGGGACAGAGTTTCGAATGAAGAGGTGTTGCATCGAGCTCAAGAAAGGCGGGTGCTGATTCAAATGATTAGAGAGAGACAGAACAAATGGCTTGGACACATAATGCGGCATGATGAGGGTCTGATGCTCAGAGTCATAGAAGGTCGTATTCATGGAAAGAAGAAGAGGGGAAGACCTCGAAAAGGCTTTCTAGACGATGTAATCACACAATGTGGAGCAACAGGGTATGAAACGATGAAACGGTTGGCTCAAGACCGAGGAACTTGGAGAGAAACTCGGAGAGACACTTGATATAGAATTTTGAATGGGTCACTGAACCTGTCATAAACTGACAGATCACTATTGATGATTGATGAGTGAAGTGCAACAATCGTCTACAAGAATGTAGTAACAATCTTTCTCAAGAAAAATAAAAAGATGATCCTGGTGAGGTGATAGGTTTTAGAAGATAATGTAGTAACAAACTAAGGCACACGACTTTGAAAAATCCCCTCTTCAGTAGAAGAAAGCAAGTTTAATTTTGAGAGATCTGATCGTCTCATCTCTCTCTTACTTGTGCAGTGAAGGGTAGTCATCCTTGAGGATGGTGAAGTTACGGCACGTCGGACAAGTTTGTTGCTGCTTCAGCCATTCATGGAGACACTACATGGAAATTAAAGAAACAGAGTGTCAATTTGTAATACTCCTGGGGGCTGTTTTACAAAACTTGTCATCAGTGACAAATGACAGTTTTTGTTATAAGCTACTGAAATCCTTGCTTCTGACTGGTTATCTGCAGATTAGTCATTGATTTTTGTCATTTGTCATTGAAAAAAGGCTTTGTGAAACGGGTTCCTGGTAAGGGGTCCAAGTACTTAATGAATTGCTGAAGACATTGCTGGATATACTTCATTGATGGAAAGCAATGAAACTACATGTTTTGAAATGTGCTTCACATTTTTACATTGTCCCCACGTAAAGGGATTCCAAAGAATCATAATTTTGGGGATTTGCTTCCTTGTGACCTTTAAAATGGTTGGAACACTGGTCTCGTCATGACAAATCATGCATGAATACTTACACCCTACCTAATATGAACTATTTTGTATCATAAGATGATGAAGCGGATACTAATCGAATGATTGGTTGAGAGCGTACACGTGACCAGGCATTTATTTTCCCTAACAGGTAATTTTACTAATGACTGGTCATTAGTAAATACTTATGACCGGTCCGTTAGTAAAATCATTTTATAAAACATTGATCCATTTAACAAATAATACACATCATTTTTTTTCGGGCATTAGTAAAATTACCCACACTTGATACCTTCGAAACAGTCCAAGCACACTCGGCTATCGCCTCAGGCGTTTTAGACTGTTCCAAAGGTACCTTGTGTTGGTAATTCTTACTAATGCCCTCACTGCTGTCTAATATTTGTACACTATATCACTCACATGTATGTGGAAGATATTACACACTCCTATTCCAAGATGTTATCCCCCTAAAATGATGCATGTTTTCATTCGTCCATTATACAATCAATCTGCGATAGATACACACAGCCTCAACTCAAGTGCCGATAGATTGTATAATGGACTCATGCGCATGCATCATTTTTATACTTTATCACTCACATGTATGTGGAAGATATGCCCACACTCTATCTCCAAGGTGTTATCCCCGCTCATCTCGTCATGGCAGATCACGCAGGGGTCCTCCTCTTCCGCCTCTCCATCGACAAGCTCCTTGTGCAAGTTAAGCCCCTGGATGTGGCCCACTGTCGACCAGGCCGGCTGGGGTGGGGTTGGGGCATTGTAGTAAGAGGATCGCTTGGGCTGGGTGTTGAAGGTGGCCGGAGGGGCAGTGGGGCGACCTCCAGACATGCCCTGGTGGTTTGAGAAGCCCTTGTTCTGCATCCTCTGTGGAATGTAAGCCATGGGAACACAGTGTAATAATAGTAATGATAGGCATTTATATACCGCCTTATCTGGGTTTAGCTTAGCTGCCATTACAGCATTTAATCTCTGCGACACTATTTTTATCAGTAAAACAGAAGTTCAGGTCGTATCGTAAACGTCCAGCAGTGCTCATGGAATTACAAAACTCAAGGGAATAATAGAAAGATATTCAAGAAGAATTATCAAACATGTTATTGATACAAACTTATCAATCCTAACCTTGCTTTGCAGCTTCCAAATCACACCCTTAAGATCTTTATTACTTTAAGGCAATGACCACATATGCAATCTTAGATGTGGTCAGGAGTGTAGGAAATATAATGGCTAGAATACCTTGGTCCTCCTATATGTACACACACAAACATTTGACTTATCCAGTAGCTGCTAACAGTCTTTCAACAAGAACACTCGATAGCCAATTGTCGCCTTGTGGCCTCACCTGAGAAGCATTGCCTGCTGTCTCGCGTTGCCGTTGATGGACGAGGTCTTTAACACGACGGACGATCTCTTCCACCGACAGACCAGAAAGGGAGCCATTGTTAGATGTGCGGACCTCCTTCAGAAAACCAGTCAGCTGAACCCTGTCAAGATAACAGATTTTGAGAAACATGAATCTTAAAAATACTGAATTTGAAAGAAAACTTATAGTAGATAGATACCGGTACAGGGATATTGAGCTGGAAAATTGTGAAAATGTGACAACGCAGATTCAATTCTTATGGAGGTCGATGTAGATTATTAAAGAAGAAAAAGAGCCTTATAGAAAAGAAACCTTTCAGCATTGATATATGAATCGGGTATAATGAAATACAGACACATGTTGCATGAAAAGTCTGGCCAAAATATTTCAGCCATATCTTGTCATAGTTAAGATATGAGGCATTTTTGAAGAATAACCCTTTCCATGAGACATGATATTCCTCCAAACAGACATACAACCAACAAGATAGCAATCATATTATTCATTATTGCTTGTTTTTTTTTTTACCTGAATGCTAAGAAAGCATGCATGTGCTTGTAAGTAAGGAGATAGGGGACCGACGGCTTTAAGTCCTCTTTAAGGGACTTGGCAATGAGCATTAATGCCTAACCAAAGGGCACTAGTGCATCGACTTGATTTTGAACCAGGAACCTCCTGCTTACGAGACAACTGCTCTACTACTGAGCCATCGGGCCTCCTCTTCACCAGAAGCCGACATTCTCTTTAAAGCCCGTCTACACTAGTTTGGCCAGGGGGATTAGACCTCCCTGCAAGGTCACTGACAGGTGGTTGTCTCATCAGATCAGCTCTCAATAAACATAAGAAAAAGGGGATCATGGGGGACCAACAGGCACTGCTTGGGCATTGTTTGCTATATAGAGGGCGCAAGTATCTAAAAGTGGTGCAGTGGGGTTTTAATACAGATTCTGTTTCCACTTACTTGTTGTAATTAGGGAAGAAGCCATGCAGCCTCAGCATAATCCGCTCAAAACTGTTCTTAGGTCGTGCCACTTGTTGTTCCATGTATTGCTGCCGTGCAAGCATCTGTTGTTGCTGTTGTACCTGATGTTGGTGGCGAGCGGCAGCCCCTTGTTGCTGCGACATCCGCATTTGATGCTGAGCGTGTTGCATGTTTGGTGGAATAGCTGGTTTTATGAAAGATAAGAAAGGGTGGGGAGGGGAAAAACACATTGTTAAATTAATGAGTAAGTATGGACTGATGTATTTTTGCACTGAAAATAGATCATCTGGAAGCCTTTGGTGTATCTATCCAATGATAAATACAATGTGGCACGTGGAGGTTATTTGTGCGGCATATAAAGATTTATCTCTTGTATACTAATGGTTATTTGACAGGTTGATAACAATAAATCAGTATGTTAAAATAATGAGCAGAATTACCAACATTACAATAAAATGAATGGATGGCTAAACAAAGCATTGAATTTACTTTTCCTTACAATATTAAACACAAAAAAGATCTCAAACAGGTACAAAATCAACACATCAAATAGCATATATTGAAGAAAAAGAAGAAAAAAATCTAATAATCATCAATGATAACTGATTTTCGTTGGTGTTAACCTTATTGTTATGGAGAAATCATCACTGAATTTGGGTTTAGTACAATAAAATGACCTGTAATAGGAGTTCTATACAAAGATACATACAAAATGGTGATAAAAACACCCAATGGTTCATTCTCAAGCCCATACTTACCATTAGACTGCTGGTTGCCTGACATAGCAGCTTGCTGAGTGGTTGCTTCTCCCTGGGAGACTACCGGTGGAGTCTGGGCTCGGCTCATGGCTTGGGCTTGCTGTATCTGCTGGGCCTTAGCCTTAGCCTGAGCCTGAGCTTGTGCATGGGCTAGCGCTTGGGCCTGAGCTTGTTCCTGTTCTTGAGCTTGAGCCTGGGCCTGGGCCTCTGCCATAGCCTCTGATTGGGCCATGGCCAAGGTTTTGCGTTGAGCTTCAGGGTTGGTGTGAGAAGCAGGTTGGTTCTCCACCACACCTGCTGAGGAATCAAAGAATGGTTACATTTGGAAGTTAAGTGTTAAGTGACTCAATTATTTTGCAGACATGAACAAATTGTTAAAATTTCTGCCGTAGATTTTGTTAAAGCATTACCCAAAAATTTCCTTGTGATCATTTTATTGAAGATAACCTGGAATACAAAACTCATTACCAATCTGGGGAACCCCCTCTGCCTTGGGTGCCGCCATCATCCCTTCCTGGATGTGTGATCTCACATAGGCCATATTGTTCATGCATATTGGTTTGAAAGGCTTTGACACTGTGAGGAGGCGAGTTGGCTCAGTCGGTAAAGCATCCGCCTGTCGAACCAAAGATCCCGGGTTCGACTCCCACCCAGGCTGATGACTGAAACCTGCGTTGTGTGTTAACGTGCCCCTTCCCTTGTTCATAGATGCGGGTTAAAACACTCCGTCCCTCGGATAGGATGTTAAATTGAAGCCCTGTGTAGAGAAGAGTCACTACCTTTGCACGTTAAGAACCCACTGCACTATTCGTATAAGAGTAGGGGGAAACCCAGGTGTAGTGGTCCACCTGCACCTGCACGATAATACTCTGGAAAGAGGTCTGTACTCAAAAAGGAAGAAGAAGAGAGTAGTGAAGTGTAGGGTCTAATTTCCAAGTTTGAATTAAAAAAAACTCACCACCATTCAGAGGCACCCCCTCTGCCGTGGGCGCCGCTATGATCCCATCCTGGTCTACAGGTTTCATCCTGGGGGCCGACATCGTCCATGAGCCTGGGGCTGGGGCAGCCATGCCTGGTTCATGGGCCATGGAGGAAGGTAGGGTCAAGGCTGGTTGGGAGGTGGGTGAGCCGCTCGCTCCCTACAGGGTAAATAAAAGGATAAGAGAATCAGTTACACACTGGCAGACCTGCCAATCTCTGGAGTTCAAAAACTGTATTCTTTAATCCCAAAAGTTGTATTCATAAAAATAAACATGGACTGTTAAGCAGATCAATGCCTCTTACAGTTCCTACATACAGGAAGAAATTTTTGTATGGATCGTTGGTTGTTGTTTTTTTTAAAAATTTTAAATCATACTTTATTGAGGAAAATCGTACTGTCATATTTGCTTCTAAAAATCATAAGAAATACAACTAAATCATACTGGTTGGCAGGTCTGCACTGGACTTCTAATCGAATAAATCCTATCTTATGGGGAAAGGGCATTATCATATGCAGCCAATGTCTTACAAAATAACTTGCCAGAATACCTTAGAAATAAATGAATACATAAAAGAATATGGTAGGTGTGTCTTACCTTGACAAGACCTTCAGGTTTGTAAGGGGCAGGGACTTCCACAGGCTTCATAGAGTCCAAGGTAGCACCATTCTGGATGGCATTTACCTGTTTCTGAAATTCATTCTGAAAAAAACACACCAAACAATAGTTAAAAAACAAACATAATAATGATAATAATAATACAGTCAAACCTACTTTATAGACCACCTGTCTACAACAAGCACATTTTTTGTTTCCCTTGAAAATTGTTTCTCATTGAAAAATGTATTACAGGAACCTGTCTACAAAGCCCACCTGTCTATAAAGACCACTTTTTGTGTTTCCCTTGGGCAGTCGCTGTAGACAGGTTTGACTGTAGCTGCAATTTATAAAGCTCCTTTACAAATAAAAATAAAGCGCTTTGAGATTCAGTCATTCATTCAAGATGTTATTGTCCATATAAAAATAAAGAACTATATTTCCCATTGGTGTGACATGTAATATGTGAAACATAAGACAAAAACCTGGTTTGGTGTGCCAGAAAGCCAGAAGGGCGTCGGCAAGACTCTTATCAAGAAAAAGTCAATGAGCAGGTATAGTCCTCGGGCTCTCAGCAAATGACATAACAAGACAATTATATGACCATTACGTCTGCCCCTCGTAGCTCGCAAACCCGAGTAAATGGCCATAAAGTCGGGTATTGAAACACCCCCTTCTTTGCTTGCTGCAGAGGAGGCCTAACCACTGATCAACTTGTTTTCCAAACATAGTTCGCGCTACTTTCCGTCTCTCTCTCTCTCTCTCCGACTCTGTTTCTTTCAGGCTGCCTCCTTCAGTCTCTCTCCCCCTTCCCTAGTTCTCTGTCTCTCCCACCTCTCTCTCCTCGATCATGTTTATTTATGTCTGTCTCTCGATCCATTCCCCGGGTGTCCGTGTCTCTCTCTCTCTCTCTCTCTGGTTGGCGGCCACTTTTCTTCTTCTTCTTCTTCGATCTTCTGTTTCTTCTTCTTCTTCTTCTTCTTCTTCTTTTTCGATCTTCTGTTTCTTCTTCTTCTTCTTCTTCTTCTTCTTCTTCTTCTTCTTTTTCTTCTTCTTCTTCTTCTTCTTCTTCTTCTTCTTCTTCTTCGATCTTCTGTTTCTTCTTCTTCTTTTTCTTCTTCTTCTTCTTCTTCTTTTTCTTCTTCTTCTTCTTCTTCTCAGTCTATAGTGGCCTAGTCTTTTTCTCCAAGTCGAAGCGACAGTCCTCAGGTTTTTCCTGGTTGAAAAACCCCATTCATAAATTATGAGTCCTCAAACTCGGGTTTTGAAACACCCCCTTCACCCGCGCATTGATAATAACAAGAAAGTTCTCTTTACACTGCACTATTTAACGATTTTCTGTCTTGTGTCAGAAGCTTGTTATATCTTAATTGATATTAAGATGTACTTTTATTATCAGTGAATACTCATGCAACGGAATGCAGCTTCTTAATGAGGACTAATTTCTGCGCGGATTTTTATTAGGGGGACACTTCGTCTGCACATGTGGACAACTCAGTGCAGTCCTGAGGTCAGTGGTGCAGTCACGTTAGGGTTACTACCATTGACCTAGAGGTCAGTGGTTACTATGGGGGTTACTATGGCGATCTGTCAATCTCTCTTCTCCCTTCCAGCAACGATCACTGGCAAAACCACATTGTTGACCTGGGGATCAGTGGTTCTTGGCAGCCTCCCAATACCTCCATCTAAGCAAGAAGCAAGGGGGTATTTCAATTTTGCTACGAGGACTTTACGTCATGTTATACAAAGCAAGAATTTTAAATAGAATGAGATGTCACCCATGAGTCAGCATGGGTGGTTTTTCTGCAATACGCATAAATCTTTCGCCTTTTACTAAAGATTTCCGTGCAGAGGAACACATTGATGAGTCTATAAAGATTTTTCTCTGGCTTAAAATTATTTGATGCAAAGGAATTCAATCGATCGATGAACAGGCTCTGTCCTACCAACATCGATGGATTAAAGTTAAGTAAAGTATTAGAATTCAAATGTATTCAAGTTACCAAGCAGTGACAGTGTGAGTCCAATCAATGCAGGTGGTTTTATAATAGATATTCCCTTCCATAAACCAAAGTCTGAACTTAACCCTTGACCAAACACACGACCTAACTTTAGGCCCAAGTCTAACCCTAACCCTATCACTCCTCGCCAAAATAAGGCCTGGAGGGAGTGTCTTCCCAGCATATGTTGGGTAACTGATCACCAAGATAAACTTTGTAACATGAAAAGAAGAAGTAAAAAGAAAAGAAGTTTTGAAATAGAGTTACGATGTGTGATCAGTGAACACGCTTTCCAATTTTCATTCACAATACCTCGCACACTCAAAATTCTACAGAAGACATTAAATGAATATGATAGGTGTATTACCTGTGCTTTTGATGCAGCTCGTTGGTTGGTTGCGAGGCAATCTTGCCACATACTCCTGATGGCTCTAACATGTTCCTCCATCATCGGGTTACTGTGAAACAAATGACAATGAACATACATCAATCTCAGTGAATGGGACCACAGTCAACTTTATCTGAAGAGGAAAGTATCATTTCAGTTTGGACCCACATCAGGGTTATCACAAAAATTTGAGACTTTGACTTTCTATGACCCATATTTAGTTTTTTTTCTTTTTCTTTTCCATGACTTTCCAGGTATTTCCATGACAGTGGTTACTCTGCACATGTTTTACATTAAATAACACGGTTCCAGTAACATGGGGACAGCTAAAACTTCAAAAAAACAGCAGCCCATTGCACTAGAACCCTTAAAATTTAATTTTGAACCCAAGTTAAAAAAAAAAGTTAGTGTGGTGCACTGCAGTGTAACCAACAGAATATCAATGTCTTTTAAATGAGCGTCCTTATGAGAAAGACATATTTGAATTATTGTGACAAATATACATCTCAAATATTGTTTGAAAGTACATGTTTGCATGGCGTGAATATAACTTAGAGAATAGGTTTGTGGTGCAATCCTCTGAAGAGGTCTTTAAAGGACTGAGAATCAATAAAGATTCAACATTTCACACAAGTTACAAGGAACACCTGTATGATATTGGCGTTGATTGACGACATGATGTGTAAATTGAAGTCTGATTATTTCTTTGATGAAGGTTGTTGGGTAGTGGCGAGTAAGACAGGGCCGTACATACCAAGTCTTTAGTATGGGGTGTGGACTGAAATTTTAAGGACTGCATGCAAAAGCCCCATTATGACATTTTGAAATGTTGAGGTCCCTACTTAGGATCTTGGGCACCCACCAGTCTGCGGCCCGGTTAGTATCCAGCCTTGGATAAGGACCACACTTCATTGGATCAACGGCATTTAAGATCATTCCCTAAAGCCTGTCTGCACTAGATTAGACCTCCCTTTCGGGAAAAGGGGATCATGGGGGATCAACATGCACCGATTAGGCATTGTTTGATATATAGAGGGAGCAAGTAGCTACAAGTAGTACAGTGGGACTTTAAAACAAACAAACAATCTTACTTTTGGAGGATGTTAGCTATAGTTTGAATGTGGCTATTTGCTTCTTTGCACGCTTCTTCCAATGGTTTCAGCTCCTTGGCCATAAACAGATGCAGGAACTGGATCTACAAAACAAAGGAAATGGATGAAGAAAGTGATGAAGAACACTAGTACAAGCATTGTTTAGTTTAATTCATTTAAGCCCAAGTTTAACAAATGTTTTTTTGAGGGCAAGTACTGGTACAAGTGAAAGTTATCTAGAAGCGTTCTAATTCCTGTGAGGGAAAAAAAGTAGCGAGGTCACATGAAACAAACTACCCTTGCATTGTTTAGGAATTCTAGGAAAGATGCAGACTATTTTCATTTCCTTAATTCAGATCTGATCAATACATAAAACAATGAAAGAAGTTTTGAAATTAAAAAAAAAAAAAAAAAAAAATCTCCATATTTTTATTTCCGTCCACCCCAGTGCTCGCGCAGTTTTAAATGATCAAACAATCAGCACCTTTAAGAAAGAACGACTTGTACGTCCTGAACTATATAATAGTAAAACATAATAATAATTAGATCAATTTATATAGCACAGCTACTATACAAATATACTCTACTGCACTGTGATGAAAACATAACTTCCAACAGTGCAAGTTTACAAACACACAACAACAAAAAATATTCAAAAGAATTGAATGTGGTGGTAGAGACAGGGTCACATACCTCAGCTTTGCACGCCCTTCCCAAGGACTTCACAGCCTCTTCATCCCTGGCCTTTAGACGTAGCTCCAAGGCATCCCACCCTCCCTTCAGCTCCTTGAAAACCTTCTGAGACTCCTCCATGTCCTTCTCCATCTGGGTCCTCCTGGAGTCTGCGGTGAGACGATCCTCGTTGAGCAGCGCCATCTCAAACTGGAGTTTGGACACATTGTCATGGAGTTCTTGCTTTTCCGTCGTCAACTTCTTAGACTGCTTCTCAAGCATCTTGTTAGTCTTCTCTTTGTCTTTGACAGAATTCTGTTGCAAAAAAAAGGGAATGATTGTTTATCTTCAGTAGTGACCTTCTACGTGACCTTCCATCCGGGCCCACTCTGCATCTGCTGTTGTAACGCCATCTCAAACTGTAGTTTGGACTGAATTAGCAATACACAATTCCCATCTCGGGTTAGCTGTAGCAGTACGGTCCCATAATCACCGCTTCCCTAGCTGTCCTGTTGGTTCTCGCATCTAGTCCTCTGTCTGTGAAGTGGGAACTACGGTAGGTGTTGGTTTACGAATTGTTGGCCAGTTGACCATAACATGGTGCTTTGCAATAAACAGTATGCACATATAATTGCTTTAATGCCCCACTGCACTTCTTATATTTACTTGCACCCTCTATATAGCAAACAATGCCTAATTGGTGACCATTGGTTCCCCATGATCCTCTCTTTCTTATGTTAATTGAAAGCTTATTTAATGAGATAACCACCTGTCAGTGACCATGCAGGGAGGTCTAATCCCTCCTGGCCAAACCAGTGCAGTGGCGCTTTAATGGTACCTAATAGAATGAACACAAACTTGTACTTACCCGATATTTACCAATCTCACTCTTCAGAGAATCTGTCTCATCGCCCAAGGCTAGAACCAGTTTCTCGTATCTCTCCTTGAGCTCGGCAAGCTTCTGCTTACAGTCCACTTACTTCTTTATAGGACGTTTCTTTATACGATATTGATCTCTTGTCTGTATGCTCTGTTCGCTCTACAATGATTCTTTATACATTTCTCTACACAAATTTCTTATAAATTTCCTTATTTGTGAACAGACTATGAGACCCACAACTTGCCTGATATTTCTCCTGTAAGCTCCTGATTTTTTCATTTGCCCTCCTGGTGAAGGTTTGCTGATATTCTATCATCCTCGCTTTTGAAATCTTCTTGTTGTTTTCTGCCTGTTCCAAAACCCTCTGGGATAATAACAAATATCATAGATAAAGATTAATTGAGGAAGGAATATAAATGATTAAGTTGAATACAGGTCATCAAACTACATTGTGGAAGAAACTGTCTAGAAGCAAGAGAAAGGTCAATTATGCAAGGATAATTCTGTAGTACTGGGATATGAGGAAGAATGGAAAAGAGGAAGGAGAAGGAGAGGAGGAAAAGAGAGATGGAAGAGAATATGGACAAGAGAGCAGGAAAACGGAAGGGGGGGGGGGGGGGGGTGGGGTGATATTTGAAGAAATGGGAGAGGGGGAGATGAGGGATAAGAAAGGGGGAAACGGAGATTGGATCAGAACAAGAGGTAATGACCTTCAAGAGGAAGAAGAGAAACAGAAGGAAGGATGAAGAGAAGAGCAAAAATGGGACAAGAACAGCAATTAATTTAATAGAAAATTAAAGAATTGGGGGAAAAGAAAGATGATAAGGGATAAGGATGGGTACTAGGAATCCTGAGACAATAAAAATAATGTGCTTGTGCTAATCAGAATGGCGCATAAGACGATTTACAATTCTATCAATATATGCTCATTGAAGTGTATTTTGACATTATTACCCTAGCTGTGCTGTTGTGCTTGCATCTAGTCCTCTGTCTGCGAAGTGGGAATTAGGTGTTGGGTTACGACCTGTTGGCCAGTTGACCATGAGATGGCGCTGTGCAATAAACAGTACACTAGAGCAGAAACTTCAACAGTTCAGTATTGCTTTAAAGCCCCACTGCACTATTTATAGTTACTTGCGCCCTCTATATAGCAAACAATGCCTAATCGGTGACCATTGGTCCCCCATGATCCTCTTTTTCTTATGTTAATTGAGAGCTTATCTGATGAGATAACCACCTGTCAGTTACCATGCAGGGAGGTCTAATCCCTCCTCGCCAAAGCAGTGCGGTGGGGCTTTAATGGTACCTGATAGAATGAACACAAACTTGTACTTACCCAAAGTCTATCATTCTCATTGGCTAAGGCTAGAACCAGTTTCTTGTTTTTCTCGTTGAGGTTGGCAAGAGTCTGCTTAGTTCTCTCGCGTGATCTGTAAGTAGACATTAGAACTTACAGTTTGATTTGAATTTATTTTTTTATCAACTGCAATACAGCAAAACATTTCAAACAATGATATTTACATATACAAGAAGAGAAACTATTGGTTGGTAAAAGGGGCCAGATAAAAGCACATATGTCTTCATTTTTTCCCCCTTCAAAGATAATGTAGGGCTTGGGTTTGCATTTGGTTAGGTTGTACAAAACACGCTTTAGTGACAATTCATCCTGAGTCGGCTGAATGAAATAATTTGTAATAAGGCACTTAATAAAGATTTGTAAATAAAATTTGATTACATTTCGAAAATGGTCTATTGAAGAAAATTATAAAAAAAAGACACTTACTCTTCATACTCTTCGAGGACATTTAATCTCTTATTTTGTTTGAGGTATTCGGCTTCCACTTGGTGCAGGGAATTGAACAGCAACTGCTTCTCTTCTTTTGCCTTCTTCTCACGCAGATCCAAGTCTTTCTGTACACAGAAACATGGGAAGAATCATAAGGATGAGAAGGATGAGAACAAGAATGAGAAATATAATAAGGACTCCCAGTTTCATACTAGTGACAGATATTTGGCTTTCCAAATTGGAATAAGTCTCAACTTCTTCTCGTCAATTCCCTTCTTCACATATTATTTATTATTATTACTTATACCACGTTTTTACATCAATCAAGGCCTGTTCAGGTATGGTGCGATGAACCGCCGCAAACAAATCAGCCACATTAAAAAAATATGTCAATGAATGGTAACGGGCGCATATTCATTGAGCTCTGTGTCATAAGATACAGAACTGTTGAGCATACTAAGCTTTATATCATCCTCTCTAAAACAAAATGCAGTGGTTTTAACATGTCATATCTGAACGAGACTTTATCAGGAGCGTGCACTGACGATTGCCTAGCTTACAGTCCACTTACTTCTTTATAGGACGATTCTTTATACGATATTGATCTCTTGTCTGTATGCTCTGTTCGCTCTACAATGATTCTTTATACATTTCTCTACACAAATTTCTTATAAATTTCCTTATTTGTGAACAGACTATGAGACCCACAACTTGCCTGATATTTCTCCTGTAAGCTCCTGATTTTTTCATTTGCCCTCCTGGTGAAGGCTTGCTGATATTCTATCATCCTCGCTTCTGAAATCTTCTTGTTGTTTTCTGCCTGTTCCAAAGCCCTCTGGGATAATAACAAATATCATAGATAAAGATTAATTGAGGAAGGAATATAAATGATTAAGTTGAATACAGGTCATCAAGCCAAATTGATGGAGAAACTGTCTAGAAGCAAGAGAAAGGTCAATTATGCAAGGATAATTCTGTAGTACTGGGATATGAGGAAGAATGGAAAAGAGGAAGGAGACAGAGAGGAGGAAAAGAGAGATGGAAGAGAATATGGACAAGAGAGCAGAAGACGGAGGGGGTGGGGTGGGGTTGATATTTGAAGAAATGGGAGAGGGGGAGATGGGAGTTGAGGGAAAAGAAATGGGTAAAAGGGAGACTGGATCAGAACAAGAGGTATTGACATTCAAGCGGAAAAAGAGAAACAGAAGGAAGGAGGAAGAGAAGAGGGAAATTGGGACAAGAACAGCAATAAATTTAATAGAAAATTAAAAAATTGGGGGAAAAGAAAGATGATAGAGAGGATAAGGATGGGGACTAGGAATCATGAGACAATAAAAATAATGTGCTTCTGATTATTAGAATGGCGCAAATTAATACATGGCACAAAAATTTATAATTTATGTAGTTTATAATAATAATTCCTCCAATTTTTCTTCTATTACACGGCGTGCCACAAGGTTCTATCCTAGGTCCTCTACTGTTTTATAAGTCGGCAAAAAGAAGTCGGCAAATTTTTTTTTTTTTTTTAGGACGAAAAAAAGGGGTGCGGTTAATACACAAGGGCGGTTTATACAACATTAATTACGGTATAATTGAAGTGTATCTTGACACTTTTGACCACAAATACAAATTATATATTTCAGAAAGTAAACTGTGTGAATTCCTTAATTTTAGCAATCAGCTGAAATTTTTATTTTCCTTTTTAACCTTTCCACTACAAAACAAAGACAACAGGAAAGAAATATTATGTTCCCAACTTTCTACATGCCATGAGAAGCTAACTTACCTGAAGAGATTCCATCTGCTGATTCACATAATCATCCGTGTTCGTACCGAAGGTTCTCTGCTCGTGGACCGCTGGTTGTTGGTCCTTCCACTGTTGCATTCGCTTTTCAAACATCTTCTCATAGTCGCTCTCAGATAATGGAGTCCTCTGCAATTCCTGCGTTTCTTTCCCACTCTCCTGTCTATTAACCTTTGGCATAGTGGTCTCCGTATTAACAACATGGGTGCTATTCGATACAGGGGTTGCTACTGGTTTTGAGATTGGTTGTTCAAATTTCTTGGTGTTGCTAGCACCAACTACTTCATCATCAGGTCGGGGATTCAAAACCCCATCCACAGATGTGCCATCGTCACTGTCAGCTTTATCTGGTCTAACAGACTGATTAACAGTACCTTTGTTCAATTCAGAAGTCATTTCATTAGATTCGGCGTAGGGTTGTTCTGTTGGCGCTCCCACCAAACTCGGGAAGCAAATGGAAGCAACCCCATTAACCACCATGAGTTTTCCAGGATTTTCAGTTATACTCGCAGATTCTTGTACTACACTCCGAGGTCCATCGCTTTGGATACTACTTTCATGTTCAGATTGACAACCACTGATTCCATCCCTAATAAGTTCAAAATCAGATCTGTCCATTTCAGAAGGAACAGGCAACTTAGTTACACTCTCTTGCCGTTCACGACCCTCTGCAGAGTCAACAGTGTCTTTGGATTCTATATTGTTACTAGCCCCTGTATTTCCCTTTGTCCCTTCTCCACCGCGCTGTACGTGTGATTGTTCACCATTTTTGTCCGTCTCCCCATGGACTACCACATCATCGTCCACTTCCTCCATGGTGAGTTCCTTGGAGCTATAGTGATCTTCCCAATGGTAGTCCTCATCGTCGATCCCATCGACCTTGCAATTGGAGGGAACGCTGACCTTGTCTTCAAGTATCGACTGATACAGCTCTGGTTCTATTCCTTCGTAATTAGAAGCATGCATCTCTGACGAAGCATCGTGGAACGAATCTTCGGCTTCATCGTTGTCATCATCACTGTCATCATTCTCATCGTCATCTTCATCATCGCTTGAAGTGGTGGTGTCGTCATTGTCCGATTCATTCTTGGTCCCTTCGCTCTCTTCTGTTTTAATTTCGTTATCGTCCTCTTCATCGCTATCCTCATCGCCGTCGAAAGAGTCCAACCCAGAGACGGGACCTCGCTTTGTCATCGCATCAAACTGATCAAGACCCACCGACAAGGTTGGGTTATAGCCACCAAGACCGGGAATGAACGGAACAGAGTTAGGATTCAGAGAGTAACCCGCAACATCACCACTTAGTTCCCTTTCCTGATATCCGTTACGGATCGCTAGCTCTCTGCACTTCTGAGCATCACCCTTCATACTTGCGTAATCACCAATGACGACCATGTCTTCGGATTCGAGAAGGAATGGCTTGAGGCCACCTCGTTTAAGTATAAGTTCCTGGTGCTCAAATGTCAGGTGTTCCATATATCTAGTTATGATTGGATCTTGAAGATAGAGAGGGCCATTGCTTGAAAAGATGTCGTTGAAATGGCTGGCACAGAGGGAAAGAAAGAGAGAGAGAGAATTATGAATCATTACTTACAACCTTTATTACGACACGATAATACAACATAAACGTGCAGGCTCCTCATAAAAGATGCTGAATTAGTACAATCATAAAATTTTTGACCATTTCCTTCTCTCCCCAATTTATCTAACACTGAAATCTACTTACAGGAAAAGGACCGTTTTCTGACTCTTCTCTTCATCTGTCTCTGGCACAATGATGAATCCTTCCTTCTGGAACGATGCGTCCATCTTCCTCGCAGCATCCTGTAGGTACTCAGGAATGGCAAAGGGACGATCCTCCGAAACAGTCAGGGTTGAATGCCACCTGGAGTTTTGGAAAGAAAACACAAATATTGTCTTTTATGCATAGAAATCAAGTCTTTATACGCAGGCCCTGAACTACAATTCTTACATTGTTTAACACCAAGGGGATAAAGGAGGAGGGGACTTAAGCGTCTCTTCTGAATATTTCCTATTATCAATCACCAAATATAACATTTTTCCAGAGAATAAATTTCAAAAAATTGTTCATATATTTGTACCTGTTCTTCCTCTCTTGAAGTTCTTCTGCATCATCTGCTCCATAGAGATGTCTCGTGGTGGGCCCAAAATCAAATTGGACAATGTTTGAGGCTTCTTCATGCAACTGCAAGGCAAAAAGCAGAGAACAGACTAATTAGCAGACAATATACTCACATCACTGAAAATAGACATTTTAGTTGAGAGCCATTCAGCTTCGGAAAGTTAAAAAAAAAGCTCTGGTAAAATATATCATCAGCTCCAGTTGTCTTTGATCAGGTCCAAAACCAATCAATACAATGTTTTTGGCCCTTTCAGCCAACTGTATGGTAAAGCAGAACAACAGACAATTAAACTAAAGGGAGATGTTCACTCGTTTCATAATTTGCTGACAACAGAATTGGTGGAAATACCATTAAAAAAGTGAACCTGTGGTCCCATCAAGAAATATCCCTGAGACTCTCAGAGAGTCTTCCTGAGATGGAAATGTAAAATAACGACTATACCATATGGGGAGATGGGTGGAAAATGCAGTGCATTGCCTATTGTTCTGAATCTAGTAAGTAATAAAACATCATCTTACCGTCACAGGTTTTCTGCTCTTCTTAGGCTGGGCTTTGTTGGTCTTTTTCTGATAGGGTACATAGATATGAAACAGAGAGAAGGACAATTATAAAAATGTTGAAAGTATAGGAGTGAAATAGTAAAACTACTACAAAAGGTTACAGACGCAGCTGCCCCATTAAATACTGTTGTACTTGTCTCTCTAAATAAACAGGAACTTCTGATGGCACATCATTATCGTAAATTTTGCGAGTGGCAAAAGTTTCATTAAATGAGAAATTGGAAGTGGATTGGGCATACGCTATGGACAACATCAGGTTTCATCGGACAGGCCCCAATATGGAATACCACGGGGGAAGAGAGGTTAGCTGGTCAAGAAACACCTGTCAGAAAAAAACAGGGATGCCAGTTAAAATTGATAAGAGGGCTTGAAAATCACCTATAATGAGCTTTTTTGTACACAAAAAAGCGTTAAATGGCCTGAAAATAACTTGGCACGGCCTGAATTCATGCTTATGCCTGAAAACTGGCATCCCTGGAAAAAGGACAGAACAGAGGACTCTGGAGATCTTTCATTGATGGCCTACTAAAGCTATTACTATCCTGTTTTCATCTCTCCTATTTCACTTTCACCTATGAAATAAATTGTGTATTTATATGCTCTTTAATCATTCCATCATTCAAGTCCCAGCTTTTGATGTTAATTTTTATGAATTCCGACTTAAGTTAATTGACAATTTGTCCCCCTTTTCAGTCGTACCTGTTCGACGTCATCAAACTCGTCCCTCTTCAGTACGTAGGTAGCTTCTGGTTTAATCTCTGCTTCTCCTTCGGCTCCCTGGACTCTGGAGGTATCATTTTGAGTGGAGTCTGTTGCCGCGGCAATACCAGCATCCGATCCGGTCCTGGGTTTGGTTGCTCTATGAGCTGATTTACTGGATGAATCTGCAAGCAAGACAAGTAATAATAATAATATTCAGCTTATATATATAGCGCTTAATACATCTCGGCTTCTCTAAGCGCTTTAAAGATATACTATTACGCCGGTCATTGGATTCAATGCTTTCCCGCACACGATGTGTGCACAATCTCCACTCCCTGGGGAGCATTCCGGCCAGGCGTTACTCGACGCTCAAAAACTGTTTGACCAACAATGACGGTCGCATCCAGAGTTACCAACCTTGTGCGACCAAAAAAAGGAATGATGATGGCAAAAAAAAGGAATTTCAAGCAAAGAAAAGGAATTCATTAAAACTAAACTTACAACCACGCGCGACACACTTCCAATGCATAAATGTTCATTCATCATGCTGTTTTTTTCCATACAAGCAGGTAATTTTTTTGGTGGTTATTTCGGTATTATCGGCATTTCCTTTTTTTTGAAAATATATATATATATATATATATATTTTTTGTTAATTAAATTTTTTTATTAAAAAACGTGTTTTATGAAGAAAAAACGTAATACCGTAATTTGAGGGAAAAAACAGTAATTCCGGCAAAAACGGAATGGTTGGCAGCTCTGCGCATCCTACCGGGTACCCATTTTATCACCTGGAATTGGTGGAGGAGGTGTTGACTATCTGAATGATAACAGCACATAAATAGCTTTGGAAAGGCCTTCTTAGGACTCTGTCACATACATACGTACTAACAAAAACGATACATGAGAGAGGTGTGCGTTTGTAATCTGGTAAAACACAAAGAAATACAGAGGAGACACTGACAAAATCCCACATCATTCTTCGCCGACATCAAATTGGAAACAAGCCCTTGAGAACAGGAAAATATTTTTTATGTAACCTATATACATGAAAGAGGAGAGTTTGCGATCTGGTAAAGCACATTGTCAATGAAATACAAAAGACATACTGAGAGAATCCAACATCCTATAAAATATTTTTTATTTAACCCATGAATGTGGAGTGATATCCTCCAGTCAATTTAGGGACTTTGACTCAAATTAAAGGCTGTGTGAATAATTCAGACTTAAGTTTTCTTATCAAAAGAAATAACATGGTACTCTGTGCATTGATGATTACACATACTGTAACATGACTATTTTTACAAATGCTGTGCTATTACCATTTTAGGGAGCTCTACAAAAGAGCAAATTCTTGAAAAACCATGGTTTAAAACAGGAATTTAACTTCCATCATGGACTAAAATAAAAATACAAGATTACTAAACGTATGGACATGAAACCGCTACTTAAAAGATTCTCCTTTGTATGTTAGTTTGGGCCAATGTGTTTACCCACCTTCCTTTTCTGCATGAGCGCCCTCTGCTGTTTGACCATGTCCAGGTTGACCTTCAGCATCCCCTTGGCCCTTCTCTGCCTTGTACATGTAGCTATCACTTTGGTGATACTTCCGAAACTTCTTCCCTTTCTTCTGGTCCTTGGTGGGTTTCCTTAAAGAATGAACCAAACAAAATACATGGAAGTTTTAAGATTCTACAAATTATACTGAACGATAGTAGATTCATTTTTTTCATTTTTCACTAAACAAACAATAGACGCAAAGAAGCATGTATTTATACAAAAACAATGAAAATACAGATTAATCAACTTCATTGGCAATGTATACATATTGTTTAATCTTACAATTGATATAGAATGGAAAAGGAGAACTAAACAGACTGCCTATGATGGCTTTGTAGGGCAGTTCCGAATAATATACACAATAAATTGTTAAAGAGCATTAAAATACGACAAAAAAAGTTAGCTTATTGTGGAAAAGAGGGATTCGGAAGATAAAAGAACAACTGATATAATTCATTTGTAACTTGGAAAGCTGGCATGACTTGGTCTCTCTACAGGTATTGATAAAGTGACTGCAAAAAAAAACTTTGGCGGATATTTTAATTTTAACGTTAATCCACTGGGGAGGCACAAATATATGAGCTGAACTAAACTGCCAATCAGCACAGTTTGTTACACTGACACAGTAGTCATTATGCCAAAATATAAACAGGGGTCCACACCAACTTTTTTAAGGAAGGGGGCCCGGATTGGGGTTTTTAAAGTCTATGCATGAGCCATATGTAGAACAAAGTCAAGAAAAAGAAACTTAGAGGGGGGGGGGGGGGGGAGGCGGATCAAGACTTAGATTTTGGGCCCCCATGGACGCTAACTGGCGTCAAGCCCTGCATTAGATGATTTAACCATGATCCCTATTTCTATTAATTCCATGATCACAGACATTTTAATATCATGAATTCAATTAACCTTTTCTTCACATTCAGAATTAGACTTCCACATCACACTTATCATCTAATTATACAACAAAAGTTTTCTTACGGGGCAGATTTCTTCTTTGCTTCATCCTTGGCTGGCTTTGGTGGTTTCTCAACCTTGAACTCTGTCTTGATGATTCCATTACCTTCGATCACCTTAATGTAACTCAAGGTTCCTAGGCAGTCGGGTGTTGAGCACTTAGTCTTCAGAGCCTCCTACAACATGGAAAACAATTTGCAAGCATTGGTTAATATGTGTCCATAGTTCAGCATACAATCATTCTTCCATAGTTCAGCATACAATCATTCTTACAATGTCTAAATGGTAAAATCGTAGGCCGGCTGGTAGAAGGGCGTTAGCGCGAGCGACTTGAAAACTACTTTTCAAATTATTCACATTTAAAGATTTGTTTTATATTTAAACTGCTTTCCGTCCCGAAAATTGATTTCAAACTTAAAAGACTAATAGAAATGTAATAGTAGAACACAGCCACAATTTTTTTCTCAGAAATAAGTCAGTTTTATAAAAGTTTGAGGCGATTTAGTGCTAACGCCCTTCTGCTTAACGCTTCATTTTTTACCTGAAGTTCGAGCTAACGCCCTTCTGCCAGCCAGGCGATGAAATACTCATTCATAAATTTCATTGATTGACAGTTTGGAAATGTGGCTTTGGAGAGGAATGGAAGGAATTAGTTGGAGAGACAGGGTCACCAATGGAGTGTTGCATAGAGTAAATGAACAGAGGAGCTTGGAAAAACAGATTTGGAGACGTAAGAAAACCTGGACAGGACACATCTTAACATGCTCAGTGACATCTTGGAAGGGAAGATGGATGGTAAACGGGGAGAAGAGAAAGACCAAGCATTGGGACGGTGTCAGACTTGGAAGGTGACAGATCATATGACATAATGAAGAAGAAGGCTACAGATAGAGAGGGATGGAGAAAGAAATACAGAAGGCTCTGGTGTGTGGACCTGCCTTAGGCAGAACACCTGAGAGAGATTTCATCAATATTTGAGTTTTTGTTACAAACCTTATTTGAATATTTAAATTTTTACATATGTAAGGCAGTCAGTGTGGCTGAAAGAGATCAAAACTTCCTCAAAGAAAAAAAGGAGAAGCTCATTCCCATCCCCCCCCCCTCTTGTTGAAGAGCCGTTTGAGTGACAGCATGACAGATATGGGCACAATATATGAAACCATGTTGTTGCTCATCATAATCACAATCAACAATCAAATCATATCTGAATAGCACTTAAAGATGTTACCCCCTCCATCACTTCCTCCTCCTACCCCTAAATTGTTTAGCGTCTGTTGTCCAATGCTGTGGGGTTGGCAGTTTTATTTACCTTATGGCTCTTCTTGCCTCATGGTCTTCAGCCTGGGTGACACCAGATGCTTTCATATTTTCATCTCATGTCTCCTTCAAGGTTTTGCATAAAACACTAAATGTAAAAGACTGTCCTCCAACTCACCTTCTCGCCCAAGATATTGCTCTCATTCTTGATGGCCTTCCAGCAGTTGATGTGGTAGTCGATGTAACAACGTTCGCTGCACTGTACCTTGATGTAACCCTTGAAGTCTAGGTCGGAGAAGTACATCTCCCTCTTGGAGGTGCACTCCATGTACCTGCAGGTGGCGTCGGCACTGGGTGGGTTCTTGCACCAACGCTGAAGCTCTTTCAGTGCAGCCTAGGTTCAAACCAGATGAGTTGCAATGATTGAAAGGTTGTGATAATGTTTGAGGATTGCCTTAGCTGACGTAAGCAACCAGGGGACAGACAGCATTAAGTCCCCTCCAGGGGACTTGGTAAATGAAGATTAAAGCCTTGCCTTGTCTATGATGTCAAGGCTTATGTTTATTTATCACTTATGCTTTCCAGTTATTACTGTTTTTGTAGCTTGTAAAAATCCCATGTTACATTTCCAGGTTTTAAAATATACAAAAAATGAATTGAATTGAATTGAATATTATTATTACCTTGACGTGGAAATAAATAAATGCAAATGAGATGGATTGTTGGTCTTACCTCGAGCTTGCCTTCCTCCGTCTCTTCAATGTTGGTTGAGGTTCCGGGCCATGTGTGGATGGTCTGATCGAATCGAGTGGTGATGAACAGGCTCTTCTCGATAGGATCAAGCGCTTCAGTAAACCTGGAGGAAATAACACACGTTTGATAGATGTAGAGAGAATTGCAGACATATGTGTGTGTGTGTAAAGTGCACTTGTAATAAATAAAAAGGGAGAAAACGGGCCCCACACTTTAAGTACTTGAAAAAATTGGCCATTGTGTGTATGATTGGACATTTTTTAAAGGGAAAACAGACATTTCTGAATTAAAAAAAAAAAGACCTCAGTCTGTAATACAGGATAATTAATGTATTCCATACCTGTTTAATTTGAAGAGCGCTGTCGCCAGGCCGTAAAAAGGTAGTCCATTTCGCATGTTGGGGAAGTCCTTTGTGATGCTTTCAAACCTGGACAGAGCTTCGTTGATTTCCTAAAAATTTAAAACAGAAAATCAAATGGACATGAAACTAAGGATCCGTTTGTTGTTGTCAAAAACAAGTAAGAATATTTCATAAAAGCTAGTGAAAGCTTTGGTTTTGATTGGCTATGAGCAAATGTGTAACAGATTCATGACTGAAATCAATCTTAACTATGTACATAAAAGATAGATGACTGCAAACTTGCAATTAATTAGAAAACTTGCAATTAATTAGAGGACTTGCGATCGACTTGAATCAATGCCAACTCTTTATAAAATGGGGCCAAGAAGACATTTCAGTTCATGTACAGCAAGCTGAAGAGGGCTGGTATTTGTGTACTCAGAGTTGATATCAATGGTATAAATTATCGGTGAAATTGCATATGGTCTACAGCCAGCCTGTCTACAATTCACATGGTCTAATAATCATTTTGTCTAATGATCATTTAGGCTAATAGCTGTTTGTTCTAATTTCCATTTGGTCTAATCTCTAAAGAGGCCACAACCCATTTGGTCTCTTGTTCATTTAGTGACTTAGTCTAATACCCAGTTTTTTTCCTGGCCATCTTGTTTACTATAAATAGGTGTAATAATAATTTGATGATTATTATTACTTATGATTGAATGATAATTAGACCATACAGATATTAGACGGGCTGGGTGTAGACCAATTGGGTAGTACTGCAATAAACCAAATTATATACTTACTAAAGGTATTCCGGACTTGAGGTAGGCTGTGGCCTGAGCATACAGGAAGACCAAGTAGTCTGCTTCATGCATCCCATAATGCTAAACAAAAGGGGAAATACAGAGAAGAGAACAATTAGAAAGGTTTATTTTACACATAAAGGTGTTCTTGGGAAAATGGTTGTATCACACATACATGTACAAGAAGGCAATACAGAGATGAAATAAAATTGGAAAGTTCTATTTACACATGAAGGTATTCTTGAGAAAATTATTGTATCACACATACAGGAAGACAAATATGTAGTCTGCCTCGTGTACTCATGCAGACTAAAAAGTATAGAAAAATTGATTTGTACCTTCAAGGTTAGTGGAAAAAATGATAGTGGGTCATATATTCCAGGGACAATCTCTATGTTATTCAAGGTGGTCAACATAGTGTTTTTAAAGACGCATAGTAGTGGGCTCTCATGGGAAATTGGAAGCCATTCAGGCGTTCACCAAATAACAAGTATTGTCAATCACCAGGATTAGCCTTCAGTTGTAGAGTTTACCACTGTAATCTAGCCTGTGTCTATGAAAGAGGGGAGGGGCACATTTACACACAATGCAAGCTTCAGTCATCAACCTGGGTTTGATTCAAACCCATGATCTTTAGGTTCCACAGGCAGACGCTCTACAAAATGAACCAACTTGAATAATATCCCTACCTCCTTTTTAGTAGCCTTCAAGAGTTCTGCAGCCCTGTCGTACTGGGTGATAGCTTGGCGAGACTGACCGCTGACTAGGGCTAGGGAACCATCAGCTAGACACTTCTCTATAGCATTCCTCTCCTTGGTCAAACGCTCCTAAATATAAAAGTAAATAAATTTAAAATGAATGATAATACAATTTGTTAATATATCTTTTTACTAAGTTTAACTGAACTGGGTTTGTTTTGCATTTATTTATTTGATAATGAAGAAAGGTGGCTTTTTGCTATAACATATGCGTTTCTTAAAACATCATCGATGATGATCAATATCAAAGGTGTGCATAGAAAATTACAACAAAATTCTCCTTTCCAGCAAATCAACTGGTTTACATGCCAAACACAATAGCATACCTGCCAACACTGACAGCAAAGAAATAGGAACAAAACAAATTATGATATTTTTTTTTAAAGAGGAACATTCCTAACTCTCCTATTCAATACTACAGACAAATTTGTACAGGAAGAGGAACACCTGCATTAAAATGATAATTATCTTCTCCCAAAAAGAAGAATGTTCCTCTTTAAACAGTTGGCATGTACGCAATAGAGTGCTTCAAGAGTTTAGATACAGAGAGCTATACGAGATAAGGAGAATTATCAATTCACTTAAATTCTTCTTTATTATCAATAAATCATACAAGGAAATTTCTTTTGATTACATGCACGATACAAAATAAATAAATAATGGATGTGATGATGATGACAATACAATATTATGTTAAGAAATGTTTGAGTAAAAACCTGTTATATGAGGCAAGAATAGATAATTTTTTTTTTTCCTTTTATCGATTTGTGCTTTAGAGGAAAAATAAACTCATCTCAATTGACATACATCAAAATTCAATTTTGCTTGATAGAATATTCATCAATTATCATTGTACTTACATTTTCCCTTCGCATCTGTTCTTTCTGTTGCCTTGCTATCTCAGCTTCCCTCTTGGCTTGTTTCTCCTTCTCCTTAGCATGTTTTTCCTTCTCATCTCGCTTCACTCGCTCTTGCGCTTGCTTCTCTGCCTCTTTACGTTTCCTCTCCGCCTTCTCAGCTTTTCGTTTGTTCCTTTCTGCTTTTCTTTTCTCATCCTCCTCCGAGCTTTTGTTTGAGGCCTCTACATCGTGCATAATCCGTTGTCGTCGTCTAATTTCTTGCTCTTCTTGGCGTTTCCTCTCCCTTTCTTCCGCTTCCCTTCGCTTCCTATCTGCCACTTCTTTCTCCTTCCTCACTTCTTCCTCTTTCTTCTTCTTAGCTTCTTCAGCTTTCTTCTTATTGAAGTCCTCCTTGCTCTTCTGCAGATCTTGATTGATGTCTGGGAGTTTGCTTGGCTTTCGGGATTTCCCTTTGCGATCCTAGAGTAAAGTAAGACAAGGAGAAAAATAAATTAGATACTGGTAATGCAGGCACATTGTGAAACTGACTCAAAACAACTGGGAATGATTGATTATTTTGCACATAACAATAGACAATTTTCGTAAAGTAACCAAATTTATGCATATGTCTTTGCGAAGCGCCTCGATACAAATTATTTCATTATATCATGAATAATCTCAGAATATGCAGTTCTGATATATAATTTATATAATTATATAACTGGAATAGCAAATCGGTCGATTGTTGTCAAGAAACATTGATTTAAAGCAAAATTTGTCATAGTAATTTAGTATTCATTATTGAAAACAACTTTTATGAAACAGGGCCCTCTCTAGGGCAGTGACTTACTGAATCGCTATCACTGTCCGTCTCCGACTCTCTCACCTCCTCCTTCTTGCTGTTGAGACTAACGAGCCTCTTCTTCTTATCGTTGAACATGGTCGCCTGCCGCTGGAGGTCTCCCGTTTGGGACCCGCCATCGTCGCACAGCTCCTGCCCTCGCTTGTTCTCGTGCAGCGCACGGTCAATGTTCTTCAGCTCAAAGAAAGCTTGGGCGTAATGGTAATGACCCTGTCACAAGAAAGAGAAGAGAAAGAAATAAATAAAAGAGTGATGATCGTATCATGGGTTAAATTTCAATGGCAGTTTGTGAGGGCTCCACACAAAGTTTTTCTGAGTGTCTGAAATGATTTGTTCACAAACAAAAAAAATATCACACCTGTATGCCTTGATCCCTAATTATTTGTCTTCTTTTTTTTTGGGGGGGGGGGGAGGAGGGGTTAGGGAGTCAAGATTAAAACAGTGGAAAGCTTTGTGCACCTGATTCCTAGGAGTAAAGTTATGGGTATATAAAACAAGGGAAACGCTCTCGGCGGTCTTGCCTGCATTACGCAATTCGATATGATGAAAAATTGAGGTTGGAACATTATTAATAGGCAGGGTGGCCCATTAGCAGGCCCCCAAAAATGAAATCCTCTGAATATAATCAGCATTTTGAAGTGAATATTGATTAAGATTCATGAACAAATAAGAAAAATTGATTATTTATTCTCATATTAAGTTGTGAAAACATAAGTCTACTGACCTAAAATAACCTTTGACCTTGTGACCTGGAATTTGTGTCATATGACTTGTGATTCTTGATAACCATTAGATACAAGTTTTATGGAAGTTGAACAAACACTTTTGAAAATATGCTAAAAATTCAAATTCTTGATGTTGATGCCACAAAAAAGTCTAAGTTTGTTGACCTAAAATGACTTTGTGACCTGAAATTCAACTCACATGATTAGGGATACTTGATAACCCTATAGTCTAATACTCTTTTCACACTGGTTTTGCTTAACCCCATACTTTGCTTAGCCCCGTACTATCCTTAACCCCGGACTATTTTTTGGGGTTTTCACACACGCTGTTTTTAGTCCTGTACTAGCGCCTATTCCGGAATAAGAAAATTCCCGCTGTTCTCACTGCATTTCGTTAACCCCGGATATCGTGTATGTTATGATTGGACATACTTCGCATCTGGCCAGCTGCGATACGCTCCATTGCGTAGTACCGGACTAGTTTTCGTTTCTGTTCTCATTCATTTGCTTAGCACCGCAATTGCGGGGTTAGCAGGAGTTAGCACCACAATTGCGGAGTTAGCCCTGCTATTTTGCAGGGTTAGTTAACCCCGTACTATAGGTGGGGTTAGCCAACTTTAGCCCACTTTGGTAAAAACCAGTCTGAACAGAAAGTGGAATAGGCTTAACCCGTACTATAGGTGGGGCTAAGACCCCCCTTAACCCCACCTATAGTACGGGGTTAAGCAAAATATTGCCAGTGTGAAAACAGTATCAGTTTCATTGACTAAGGACTTATACTTTCAAAATTATATAAAAAAATTCAAAAACTTAACCTTAGGTTAAGTTTTCGTTAATGATGCCACAACATAGTCTAAGTCTGTTGACCTGAAATGACCTTTGACCTTGACTTTGTGACCTGAAATTCAACTCACATGATCAGGGATACTTGATGTCCCTATAGTCCAAGTTTCATTGACTAAGGACTTATGCTTTCAAAATTATATAAAAAATTCGAAAACTTAACCTTAGGTTAAGTTTTTGATGTTGACGCCGCCGCCACCGTCACCGTCACCGGAAAAGCAGCGTCTATGTCTCGCTTTTTTGCTACGCAGGCGAGACAAAAATGTGATGTCCACCATAACACATTTTATCATCAAATAGTGATGAGCTAATCAGTAACAGAGGTACAGTAAAATAATCAGAAACTCAAGTTTCTGTAATGTGTAAATAATTAGGGCCGCCAATTTTCTCTGTGCAAAGAATTCTGACCCCATGTTTTCTTAATGTGTTAACAATTAGGACCTTAAATTTTCTTATTGTGTAAAGAAAAAGAACCCCAGATTTTCTTACTGTGTAAAGAATTAGGACCCAAGTTTTCTCAATGTGTAAAGAATTAAGACCCCAAATTGTCTACACATAACCCATGGTCTGTTAACAGAGAGAAACCTAAACATGTCTCTCCTGATACCCAAAGAAACACAACTTAGAGTGGAATAACATTTCACACTTAAAACAAAAAAAGCAGTGCAGACTGGTTGGAGCTTAGAAAGTTACAACAACCCCCAAAATCTGATTATAAATCCTATTCTAAAATCGGTTTATTACCTCTTGCCAATCGGGTTTGATTGTGATGGCTCGACGGGCATCCACCAACGCATCCCAGAAATCTTCCATGTGAAGTGCCGTCTGACAACGATTGCTGTACAGGATGTGGTTGAATACACTGAAAAGGGTACAAGATATTGGACAAGCGCCATAGGATATAGGGTTAAGGTTATGACTTATGTGATGTTCAGGATATTGGATCACACTATAATAATATAGTAATATGATTACCCATTGAAGCCTCACCTGCACCAACACTGTTCTTCCTGAAGGCCCTAAAATTATTACTACCCAAGCATGCCAGGTACCCATTGACACCTTGTGTTGTGTATTGACAAATGGCATTTTATAGTTTGCCGCTTTTGCTGCTACTTTGTGCTAGCTGCGTGTTGCATGTGTTTAACTTGCTCTGTCAATAAACAATGAACATATCACTCAAATGATTGTGTATACCAGCGTTCGCACCGTCAGCGCTAGGGCAACGGATGATGCACGGGTGGTGGCATTGCTTTTGAATGCACTTGGTTCAAACTACTATGGAGTGGTGAGATCGAGACTTGGTTTCCCCAGCAAAACCAGCTGAAAAGACATACGGTGAGCTCAATTTCAATTTCAATTTCATTTATTTCCACAGATTCATAAAAGACAGTATAATTTACAATCAAATATAAAAGCATTACAACAAAAGATGAACCTGCAGAGGGGGTGATCAAAAACCACAGAGGTTTATCGGGGATCATCCCCTGCTTAAAATTACGATATCAAAATACAATAGTTTTTAAAAAAAATTAAACAATAATATATACAAAAACATATATAGATATTACATGCAAATCTATGTGAGGGGTGAGTAGTAGTGGGTTGGTGGTACCAAGAAATACAATATATAGAGAAAATGAATGATATACAGGAAAGAAATAGTAAGAAAATAGAAAGAAACACCGTACAAACTAAATCTTAAGAGTTGGATACAAGATCAAATATTGTTTCAACTTTGACTTGAAAGAATAAAGTGATGAGCAGCTGACAATATCATTGGGAAGTAAATTCCATAGTGATGGTCCACTAAAATAAATGTTCCTTTGAAAAAAAGTTGTTTAAACAGAGGGCAAATGAATTTATTTGAACTTCTTGTTTCATAAGAGTGAATTTCAGCATTAACAATGAACATCTCATTAAAATACATGGCAGCTGATTTTTCTTGAAAAGAAACATAAATTGAGCAAGTTGCATATAATATAGAGATTTCACATTCAAAATATTCAAGCATTTATACAAGGGTGCAGTATGTGCAAGATATGGAGAGTTTGTTATTGCACGAACAGCCTTTTTCTGTAAAACCTGCAAACGGTTCGTTAAGGTAATTAAACATCCACCCCAAGCTAAGACAGCATATGAAAAATGTGGCAAGATTAGAGCATTGTACAAATTCATTAATATTTTTGGCGGGAGCAGTTTATTTACACTTTAAATAACTCCCAGTACACTGGCAATTTTTAAAGATATGTAACTGACATGACTTTTCCAAGAGAGGTACTCATCTATGTAAACTCCTAAAAATTTAGTTGAATTAACTCTGGTGAGCAACACATTATCAAATTTTACATTAAATTCATTAAAGTCACCTCCAACCTTTCTTCTCCTGAATACCATATAATTAGTTTTTTCATATTAACAACAAGTTTATTAACAGTGAACCATTTGCAAACTTTACTCAGTTCTTGGTTTAAAACCTCATTTAAATATTGCGCAGTTTTAGCTGATAATAATATATTGGTGTCATCAGCAAATAAAACAAAATTAAGCTTGTCTGACACAAAGTGAAGATCATTTATAAACAACAAAAACAACAAAGGACCAAGAACACTGCCTTGGGGTACTCCTGTTGAAAGGATCTATGATTGAGAACAAACATTATTAAATTGAACAAACTGTTTCCTAGGTAATTTTTGAACCATTTGAGAGGAGTTCCCCGTATGCCTAAAATGATAGCTTTTGTAACAAAATAGAATGGTTAATATGGTCGAACGCTTTAGAAAAATCAAGGAATATACCAACTGGAATTAGCTTATTTTCTAATGCCTGAGTTACAAGATTTAAAAATTCAATTAGAGCCATGGATGTTGAGTGTTTTTCACGAAATCCAAATTGTTTAGCATATAAAATATCATTCTTATTCAAGTAGTTAATGAGACGTTTGTAGACCAATTTTTCTAATATTTTTGAAAAGATTGGCAAGATAGAAATAGGTCGATAATTTTCTATTTTTTCTTTACATAGATTCTTATGAAGGGGTATTACTTTTGCTAACTTTAATTGATCTGGAAGTTGTCCTGAAATAAAAGACTCATTAAAAATATGACAAAGGTGTTTGGCATAAACATGTATAGTTTTCTTAACAATCTCTGGTTCAATATCATCATGTCCGGCTCTTTTATTTGCTTTAAAACTACAAACAATCTCAACAATTTCTCCCTCAGTAATAGGTTTTAAGAAAAAAGAATTGGAATAATTACCTTGTAAAAAACAATTGAAGTCATTTATGGAAGAGCATTGATTGCCTAGTGAGGCTCCAATAGAAACAAAATAGTCATTGAACAACTCTGTAATTCTTATATTGTCATAAATTTTGTTACCTTCATTTAAAATAAATTCAGGATGAACACCCTGGGGTTTCCTCCTTATTATTTCATTAATGTACTTCCAAGTCTTTTGCATATTGCCTCTCACGGACTGAAACTTATTTAAATAATATTCTTTTTCACATATCTTATATCTTTATTCAGCTTATTCCGAAATGTTTTGAAATTACGTTGTCTCTCCAGTGATGGTTTGGAAAGATATTTTTTATACAATCTATTCTTCTTTTTACACCGTTTTTTAATTTCGTTAGTAATCCACAGTTTAACACTTTTCCTTTCCTTAATTGTAATCTTTTTAAGTGGAAAACTGGAATCATATATGTTGTTAAAAGCATTCATGAATATATTATACTTCATATCAACATCAGATGTATTATACATATTTTGAAAATTCAAGGTACTGAACTTTCTATCAAATAATTGAAAACCAGAGTCGGTTATATTGCGTTTATAAAATACTCTTTCGGAATTCACTGGTTTATTCCAAGAGAGAGTGGCAAATATAGGTAAATGGTCTGTTATATCTGTCAATAGAATACCAATTTTTAAAACTTTATGTACTGTATTTGAAAAAATGTTATCGATAAGAGTTGCACTTTCCTATTCTAGTCGGATTATAAATAATTGGGAAAAAACAAGGAGATGCCATTAGTTCGGCAAAGTCATTTACATACAGGCACACATCCATTTTCATTAAATCAATATTGTAATCGCCCATAAGATAACAGTCTTTATTTTCTTTTTGGAGTTTGGATAACACTGTATAGATATCATTGATGAACATTCCAACCGATTGATTAGGCGGTCTATATATAGCTCTGATTAAAATATTTTTGTCAGTCTCTCTTGGAATTTCAATAAAGATCATCTCATGTTGTTTGTTTACCACAGTAAGATCAGAACGATGAAAATATTTTCAATTATTGTGTATCAGAATTCCAACACCTCCTCCACGACCTTCAACTCTGCCACAGTTTACATAAGAATAATTTGGAGGTACAAATAATGACAAATTTTCATCCTGATTTATCCAAGTTTCAGTTAGACCTATCACGTCAAATGTGACTGACAGAGAAGCAATGTAATCAAATATATTTTCATAATTCTTCCATAGGCTACGACAGTTAAAATGTATAAATGATAATGAAGTCTTAGAGTCAACTTCATTCATAAACTCATTGAATTGATCTTCTAGAAGGTATGGTGTACTATCCTTTTTGCAGAAATCAGATAAAGGCATTAGAAAAGGTACCACCTACTATACAGTGCGTCCCAGAAAAAACGAAACCGAGAAGTATCAATGTTTTATCATGACTTAATCACAACCATAATTAATGAATGATACATATTTTGAAAGCTGAGAGTCTCCTCTTTTAGTTGATGCTACTCAGATAATGCATTTTTCATGCATGAGTGATTAAAAGCAATTTGAAATAAGGAAACGAAACAGACATTTGGCGGGCGGTATCTGAATTTCAAAGAAAAATTCACATTTCTAGAAATTTCATTTTCTGCTCTTTCATATATGATACCTCAATCACGAAAAATGAGCCAGGAATAACTAAGTTCTGTTTGTTTAAAGTAGCCCTTACATTTTCATAATTTTAACAAATGAATTCGTTTTCACTGGGTCCCTGCCGTAGCAAAAAGCAGATTTGACAAAAGACTTAACTCAGTTTCGTTGACAATCAGCCATGCATGAAGACTCTCGTCTGCGAATTTTTCTTCGAAATTCATATACTGCCCGCCAAATGTCTGTTTCATTTCCTTATTTCAAATTGCTTTTAATCACTCATGCATGAAAAATGCATCATCTAAGTAGCATCAAATGAAAGAGGAGACTCTAAGCTTTCCAAATATGTATCATTCATTAATTATAGTTGTGATTAAGTTATGATAGAACATCGACACTTCTCGGTTTCGTTTTTTCTGGGACGCACTGTACATGTAAATTACAGCTATATAAATAATGGTTAAAAAGATGTACCAACCACAAGAATAGGTTATGGCACACAAGATTGATACGTACAACCACAACAACAATAAAAAACAACACTCCACAGTATCTTCGACAGCTAAGAAGAAGAAGAACAAAAAATTACAAAAAAAATACAAAAATTACACACAACCAAGGAATTATAAAAAGGGCTTTATAAAAAAGATTAAAATATTTTACATAAGTTAATAAAAAGTAAAGTCTCATTGACAAAGACTAAGATACATTAAATTCACACAACTATGTACACAATAACAAATATAAATCAGTATGAAAAATACAGCAAGTAAAATGTCACTGTCAGGAATCTTGACACTATTATAATCAGTGAAAAAATAAACATATTTCTGGCAAGTGAGGAAAGAGAACTACCACTGCTGTTCCTACATTTGTAAATAGCTCGAGCAGGTTAATGATACTCATACATTGGAGAAGTTTAGGGAGAGAGTTGAGAAATTCAATGTTTGGGATAAGTTGTTC